TGACAATAACTAGAGAGACAGCAGCGTGAAAGGTGAGGCAGGATATTGAGAACACTTTCATATTAGAGTGCTGTATCCATCTACAAAGCAAAGTTCATGGCAGGTAGATTTCTCCCCTACTTATGACTATGCCTTATTACCACAGTTATGGTACCATTACCAAGTATCTGATTACTGCACAAATTTCCAAGTCATATAAATTAAAGTGGGTTTTCGGGCACGTAAAATCCAAGGTGGCAAAAAACCCCCATATACAGGAGGGAATTAAATATGATGAGAAAATGCATAAAGCACACTATCAAGCATTTTAAAAATTAGCCACAGAGGTCTTCAGTTCGGTCTCTGACATCCGTATATCCATGTTTCTTGTGTGAAAATATATTTTGTAATGCATACTTATTCATCAGAGACCAAAAAAGCTCTGGAAAGTCAAGCTGAAATTTAAACGAGTGTTGTTTGGCATCTTAATTTGTGTTAGACCAGGTGGCAGCTGTTGCAAGATCATTTTTATTTAACAACTTTCTGTTTTGTTAGCAAAGAAAAACATTGTCCAGCCAAATCCTGCTGACAGTGAATAAATATTTCTCCTCCATTAGACCAAATATTTTCATTTGTCATTCTAATAGCTAGGGTAGAGGTAAAAGATCTGAAAAGATTTTTCTTTTTTTTATATGGACTCAAATATATTTGAATGGTTCACAGTTTTATGGGAGGTGATTATTACTCCATACTCAGCACTGTTGAGGTTATGTCTGAAGTACTGCACCACACTTTGGTCATTTCACTTCAAAAACTGGACAGATTTCTAAGGAAAGCACACAAAAGGTGAAAAACATGACCTCTGTAGAAGGACTGAGGGAAGTGGGCTTGCTCAGTTTTAGAAAAGAAAAATCAAAAAACTTTATTGACAAATCTCATTCTTAAACCCTGTAATAAAGATGACTGCATACTGGCACTGGGACTAGGAATAATTGACCAAACATGAAGTTGAACAAATTTATGGAAAGGGATTCCACTGGAACCTGTTAAGCTGACCAGCCACCACCACCACTGGCTCAAGAAGTGCCTGAGCCACAAATTGTTGAGGAATATCCTGAGTAAGTATCACTAAAAATCTCTCTTTTCTCATACTCTTCTCTCAGCATCTGCTATTAGTCCCTGTCACAGACAAGATCCCAGAGCAGCCTGGCTCTTTACACTGACCAAGTGCTATTCTCACACTATGCCAGCTTTTTTAGATGAGACTGTGTGAAACCCTGTTAATTCTAAAGAGTAATTAGCCTTGGGAACAAGTCACTTGCAGAGAAACAGTAGCCTTTCACTAAATACTTTAAAGAACAAGGGCAGTTTAGTATACTTGACCTCACTTCTGTCAAAAAAAAAAAAAGAGGAAAGAAAGAAAAAAGGCATAGACTACAAGATTACAAAATTCAGTGTGGGCAAACAACTCCACACAGTCCACCATTTAACGGGTTTTTTATTACAAAATAAATTAATGAGACAGTTGCAAACTTTGCACTTCCAGTACACATTTCCAAATTTCCACAAATTTCCAATACTGTGTCAGTCACACAGACAGGTGTGCTCAGGACAAAGTCTGAAACCTCAGTAAAACTGGCTACTCTACCAGGTTCCATCTTGCACTTAGAAAATGAGGTGCAAGATTCAGTGATGTCCAGCAATTCTCTGTTGGGAGTAAAACTGTCTCACTGCCACGACCGAAACCAGAAGATTTACATTTGCGAATCTCGCCTGTAGTTGACACAGACACATTTAACTCCATTTGAAAGATGCTTGATTATCTGTCACTCTCTACATTTGCTTCCATGACACAACTATTTTACAACTTCTGTCCTGAAGACATACACTTAACAAAAGGGACAAATTATCTTCTTATTACACATCTTTGCCCCCATTTAAGCCTTTATCTACATCTTTAGCTGTAAAGTGAAGTGATATAAAAGATGTAGTGTCATATTGCAATCCAATCTAAGAAGCAAATATTATCTTTGGAGTGTCTTCCAGTAGGATAGAAGGAGAAGAAATTACTTAACCCTATATAATTACTTGCTTCTACTTACAACTTCACAGAACTGCTAACTAGAAATGGAATAGAGAAAATGCATTTATTGTTAGCTCTGCTCTTCATAAAGAATTTTGGCTGCTGATATCCCTCAGCATAACCCATTATTTAGTATGGATTTCCTGATTAGCATGTTTCAAAAAGTTACAAAGCCCTAAGAAGCAAATGTTCTGTTTTCACAAAAATCTGTATCTCCAGTAACAAGCCAAAGAACACAGAACAGCACTCAGACCTCGACATGCTCAATATATTAACACAACTCTTTAGAGCTAATGTACACTTCAGTGTGTTGCTACATTATTTTAAATGTAGCAACAAATTGTGATTGCCAAGAAATCTCTCAGGTTCTTGAAGGAACATACAGCATGTATGGTCCAGTCCTTGCAAATGACATAATTATGAGAAAATCTGGATTATGACAGAGTGCATAACACGTAGATGGAACCTGGTTATCAATCAAGGGAAGTCATGCTTTGTGTGCTGTACACTGCTAGCCATATTTTTCTGCAGGGAGAATATTAAATAAATGAAAATAAATGACCTGATGGCTGTCATATACGGATGTGATGAGAGGCAGAGAAAGCAAGTGAGCCCACGTGTTCATATGTGCAGCTTCTAAGACTGCACGGAAATCAGACCACGGAAATCAGTTAAAGTGCTTGTAGAAAATCAATTTGTTCAAAGCAGGATCAGAACTTCCTCCAAAAAGTCATCATTTGATCATACCCATGTCTAATGTCAAGGCTGTAATTTCACACGTCACCACCTTTGCCAATAATGTAAATTATTGGGCAATAATTATCGGGCAATCCCGAGTCTCACACCAGCAGCGCAGTCCGTCCTGATACAGCTGTTTGGAGGTAACTACTGTAAATGGCATCACTGCAATAAGAACAGTGAAAAGTAATCCCTAAAAAGGGTGGACTCATGAGCTGTTTTGTAACACGGCCACGAAACCCTACGTTGACACAACTGATGGATGAAAATGAACAACTCATGACGGATGGGTTTTTTTAGTTCAGTTTCATCACCAAGATCAACACGTAACAAAACTAGGTTCCAAGCGGGCCACCAAAGTTGATTCTCCAGGACTTTTGCTAAGGATTGCATCAAAGGAATAAAGAGATGGCAATTTTTATAAATGTGAGATCTGAAACCAATTTTAGTAGCAATGCAAAGCACTCAGGCTACTACTGCCTTCATCCAAAATTGTGAGCACCGTAATAATTCATATCCTAAATCTGATCATCTTTCCAGGTTGGTAACACAGCCATACACATTATAAACTATGATTTGAATCCCACTGGAAAAATTCAGGAGTATCCTTTCTGGGATACACAACATCAGATCATGAGATGATGGTGCAATGAGTTTATGGAAAAGCATTAATGGAACATACATTTAGGGAGTCAGAACAACTAGCCAGGAACAAAAAAAAATCTGGGCACTTTGTGAACTCAAGGATCTCAAGTCAAGGATGAGGAAGACTTTTTCAGAAGCATGGACAATGCTTCAAACACAATTTATCCAAAGTAACTGTTCTAGACTTGGTAAAAAAAATTGCTTACCAGAGAGAAAATAAAAGTGTTTCATCATCTTAGTCTAATCTTTACCGGTTACAGAAGAATATACTCTACCTCTAAGAGGAGGCTTAGCTTCTCAATACACTCTGAGAAACATCTGATTTTTTCTTTTACCACACCCCCAAGACATCAACCATTCAGTTTCCAGTCACTTACACAAAACTAAGGGCACAGAACACAGTGTTACTGGTCAAAGAAAAATGGCAAGACATTCTCTTCCCAAAACCTGTGTGTGAGGGAGAAGACAGGCATTATATTGTGAAAGAACATGTAAGTCACATACTCCCTTGTCTATTAATTGGTATTTACCTCTCTACCATCTGTGAAGAAGTCCACATATTTCACAGTGTTCATGCAAAATCACTAATAGAAGAGAGGGAGATTGAAAGAAAGCACTTGTTTTCTGACATATCATCAAGAGTTCCACCCTAATCTGCTGACTTTTGTTGGCTTTTCCCATTTCCCATCAGCATCCTAGGAAAGACATTGCTCTGCACCACCTGCATCTAAAAAAACCTTTGCCCTACAGAACTTGCAAAACCCAGTAAATACTCTAAATAACTGATGCAGTGTATCCAGGTCGGAGTATTCCACACAAAGAAGCTGCGCTCTTGTCATTAGAGACATGGGATCCGAGCTTCATTTTGTGTCAGAGAGCAAAAGGAAGAGAGGGCAGTGAAATCATTACCAGCTCCTCTGTGAGATGAGCAGTTTCCTGCTCCTTGTAACATCACCACAGAGAAAAAAACAACCCACATAATCTCATACCAAACATTCAGACATCAGTGTCAGTTAACTAAGTTACAAGATACACCTTAGAAAATACACAATTGTTGTTCTCTCAAGGATTCTTAATCACACAGGTTATAGTTGTGATCTAAGGAAAAGTGAAAGAACATTAGGGAAAAGCAAGTATGCTGTTTAAACAAAGTACTGCATGTTGTTAAGCTCTCAGATAATTTTCTTCTAAGAAAATTACTTTAGGACAAACAAAAATGTACAATCAATCATATCCAATCAAACAATTATATTAAGGTTCAATTTACAAAAGGTTAACAAATAATTAATAGCTGATTTAATACACAGGTGTTTACTTCTCACCTACTGTCAATCCAACAGATAGCTTCTAGCTGTCTATAGTGCTTTCTACTGGTGTGCTTATAGCCTTCCCTAACATATACTTACAACACATTTCTCTAACATGAATTACAACTTCTAGAAATCATTTATTAACCCTTCATAAAATTCTAAATAAACCTTAATATGAAGCATGACTAACTTTATACTATTTCAGCCCCATACCCCAGGACATATCAAATACTAGCTCTTTCAAGTTTTTATTTAAAATTCTACATTTTATTTGGGTGCCACATCACTAGCTGCAGAATTACAAATGTCTACTGTGGCTTAGTCAACACGCTGCAGATACAAGAAGTGAAACAAAAGTGGTGGGGGAAGATCACAGGGAACAGTTCAGGTTCTTCTAAAAGAAACGTCCTGGCTTTTTTTACTGGAACAAACACTGATACCATGACAACAGAATCAGAAAGCAAAAACCGGAGTCTGTTGTCAATCAAGACATTGTTTTTCCTTCATTTTAGAAATAAAAAACCCACAATACATTATAATAAATAAATAAAACAGAAAACACAAAGGTCAATTCCAACCTCCATCACTAGGACCTTAAAAATGGAACAGCCATCTATTTCTTGAATGCAGCCTAAACTTCTCTTACCTGCAAATTTTCAATATACTTAGAAGTCCTATTCAGTGTATCAGACTTAGGGAACAAGATGTATTATATTTAGGTCTCCTATTTTTTCCATCCAGTATTTTCACCTTCACACCTCACCTTAGTTTTTTTTCCATCAAATTGCCTGCTGTTGGTTTAACAAAGCTCAGCTCAGACTTGTACTTTTCCTTCACTTTCAGAGCCTCCATCTTCATTCTCACAGTCTTCCACAAGGTCTTCATGCTCCTTTGTCTTCTCTTCCTCCTCCTCTCCCTCATCTCCAAAAGTCTCTTCCTGCATTGTAGTAAAAGTGAAAGACCTGGCAGCAACTTGTGCAGCCAGACCAGATGTGAAGTTTAAATCTGTTGATATGTGGAGCTGGGCCAGCCTTTGCTTGATTTTTGAATGCAATGCATCCTTAGAGGGAGGCTGTGAAACCTCTACTCCGTCCATACTGCTCGGCTTGAGTTCTTCAGCTTCCCCTTCACTCTGATAACACATTCTTTCTTCAGTCCCTGTAGAAACACCTTCATCTGCAGTACTGTTTTTGTTTTTCTCTGTCTCAGGATCTTCATACAAATATTCTGTCCTGCTTTTATCAGCAGCAGTCACTTGCGGATTAGAGTCTTTTTCTTCAGATTTATCACCACTTTGGCTGCAGTCCTGCTTTTCTGTATCTGAATTCATATGTGATTCCAAATTATTTAGTAGCTTCAGTGGTTCTACAGAAGGCAAGGGTTTCACTGCAGCTTAAAAAGGGGAAAAAAAATTAAATGATAACTAAAAGCAAGCTGCTATATATAAATAATTTATTTCTGTCTGCAAAGTTGCAAGATTATAAGGGTTAAAATGGCTTCAGAACCCACTAAAACAACAGAAACAAAACCCACGACAAAACTTAAAATAAAAGTGTTTTCTAATCACAAAGCTGAAGTGAAATTTGATAGCTACTTGTTGTAACTATTCCTTAAAATCTGTGATGCGAAGAGACAGCGCAAAATGGGTCGTGTTTAAAGCCGACATCGAACACAGATGATGCATTCAATGTTAAAGCAAAACCCAAGTGTAACTACTGTCCAGCACACAAATTTGAACTGTCCGCCTTTTAAGCAACAGTTTACCTAACCCACTAAAGACAGCTGGTACACGAGAAAGTCCTTATAGGCAATACCCGATCTCCAACGCCACAACATACAAATGCAACATGTATTCATACAATCAGGTAAGATGTCCTCAAATAAAGTGTGGTTTAATTTAGCCTCTCTTGAAGTTAGTAGCAGCAGCGAGTCCCATTGCCAGCAACGGGATGCTTGCCAGGAAGTCTCTCCTCCCAGTGTTAAGGGTTAGTACAACTCAGTACAATCACTTCTTGAAGAACAGACGTCTTTCGTTTTAAGAAAATGATATAATGTCCATTTCCAAGTAAGGGATTCCCTAAACTGCAGTAGCTCCATTACAGCAGCAGCACGAACATAAATGAGAGCGGCAACAGCAGATTCCCAAGTTGCATTTCCCTTTCTAATTCCATTCTGATTTTACCCCTGTAAGCAGAGACGAAAATAACTCTGGGAAATACACGAACTTTTCATGGGAAACAAAATTTATGGTAGTAGGATTTTTCAATTGCATCCTATTTCAGTAATATTTACTTTATTTTACAATATTTACAATTTTACTAGCTGAAAGCAGGCACATCATTATGGCTGTCATATTGATAATTCTTTTCATTAGCACACTGAAAAACTGAGGCTTTAAATTTATACTGTACTGTTTTTTTGAAAGTCTTTTATGCTGAAGGAGCACTGCGCTAGACTCATCTTAGTTATTAACGGAGTAGTTCTTTCCCCATCTCGTATAAAACATACTGCTACTTACTTCTGCCCATTTGCTTGAAGAGGCAGGAATATGCACAGTAATCTTATCATTTGGGAGCAAACTTGTTGCCTACTTCCTCCAAACAATCCTTTGAAAGCCAAAATTTCTCAAAAAATAAATAGATACCAATAGAGATTGGTAGCTGGTCAATTTGCAGAGTTGATTAGTTAATAAGCAAGGTGCAACTCATCAGTTCTGAGAGTATGGCTTTCCAAAGCTGAGAAATAGCTGTATAAGATCTATTGTATGGACAAGGTATGAGAAGGGGCAACAGCTGGATACAACACAATCACTTTCAGAATGAACTTTTTTGGGGGGGAGGGGAAGGGGAGAGGTTAGGGAAAGGCTAAAAAGGATTTTGCTTTGGAGAAAGTTGTTTTACAATGTTTGACAAATGAAAACAAAGCCACTAACAACTTAGTACAGCTTTTCAAAAGCACTTTCATTTTACTGGCTCAACAGGATGCCAAAGGACCAAAAATATAAGCTTAGCTAAGCTACAGTCCCATAAATTACCTACTGCCCAGACTGTAAGCAGTATTACCATAGTGGTGGGCCTTGGAAAACTTGCTTAAGTCTAGTGCTTTGCTAAGATGATGTTTTTTATTTTTTTTTTTTGAATCCAACCTATCATCTCCAGTTGACTTCATGCTGTTTTATTTAGACATATCAACTTCTTTGGAGCTGACCTCTTCTTTGTGGAAACCTTCACCAGCCCCTCTTTCAACAAACCAAAAACCCCAATGTCTTGGTTAGGACAAATAAATCAGAATGGCTATCTGGGTGCCTTGACTAACAGACTAAAGCCTTTGAATATTTCAGGACCTTTTTCACAATAATCATGAGTTAGGAAAACACAGGATTTCTGGAATATGATTATCCTGTAAAAGTGAGATTCAAGAGGTCTATGGGAAAGTGGTATCATGGCCATCCATTGGCTTGGGCCAATGGAGACAAGAATATGAACCTGTCTGGATTTAAATCTTCAAGATAAAGCGAGCCAGAAATGTGAAAAGCACAGATCATAAAAATGTCTCTTTAAGGAATGACTCATGTACAGACAAATTAAGGTCTGCAGCAGTAATACGGCAGGGTCCATTATGCCATATTTAACTGACTTTTGTTTCTTTTGAAGAAATAATGAAGAAGTTCCTTAAAAACCAGTAAAACCAGTAGATGATGTTATGTCTGGTGTCCATATCAGTCTGTCAGATTAGACACACAGAGTCTGTGCCAAAAGGAGACAATAATAACTACTTTCATGAACTGCTCTTGTCTTTTCCAGTTTTGTACGGGATGGAAGAAATCAATGCAGCTGGAGAAAATCACACTTTCTTCCCTCCCCACCGTTTAATCTCTAGTTCTAAAACAATGTAGTATCTACACACTGAAAGGAAAAGGAACCAACATGAGCCACAAAGGCTTTCTTCTGGTGAACAGTTGCTGCAGACTACAGGAGTCAGCTGGCTCTGTCCAGCCATGGCCACGGATGGCCAGAGGATATGCTCATATGGACAGGTATCAGCTGCTAACTTCGGTGAGGAAATATCCTGTGCAACTCCTGTGCATCTCCTGACGAGAACTCTTTCTGCAGGAGTCACTAGGTCTGTCAAGACTTGAACTGGAGGTAGGACTCCTTCCTTCTTTCTTCAACAGTGAGGAAAGGAAAACTTAAAAAGATTTATGTTAAAAGTTGTGTAGTGTCTTATCTAACACCAGAGGAGTAATACAGAAATTCTACTCTTGAGCAGACTGGTGCAATCTGATGTCTTAAGGGTTTTTTAACTCAGCTAGAAGAGAAATTAGTACCAATAGCCATGTGATCTCTTTTACCATAGTGGTAGCTTAATGGACATAAAGAAGAAAGTTGTGAAAACAGATATTTTTTGACGGTTTGATGTCAAAAGAGACAGTCTCATAAATAGGTATGGTCTGTTAGTGTCTGTTCCCACTAAATTACTGAAAGATGCAATCCATGGTCTTTTTTTTCTGGTAGACAATGGCAGAGGCAGAATCCTTGGATAGGTTGCCAGACTTGAGGGTTGTTTTTCATAACACAGAACATAAAACTTTTTAGAGGGCTTTTCCTAACCTTTCTGTAAGAAGAAATGAAAATGAGAAAAAGGAAAAGACAAACTACTGCCAATTTTAAAGATACAAACACCTCAAGCAGTGAAAGGAATCAAGTTGTATCCAGTCTCATTGCTGTAACAGACACACTGTCTTGTAAAGGCAAGAGAAATTTTCATATTGCTGCCTTCAAGTGCAAGTGGCTGGAGCTTACCCAGCAGTCCTCAGAGTTTGTAAAGGCTAGTTTGGAAGAATTCTTCTTAGATGGTTTGTGGGTTTTTTTTTGGTAAACATATTCTGTATATGCACTCTCTCATGGAAACAAAAGCCAGTTTTACTCTTTTATGAGCCTTTAATATTTCAAAGTCTAGCTCTTCACTTTAACCTATATACTTCTGGAAGTCTGGAATAATTTCTGATGGTTTCTTTAAATTCTGAAAAGTAATTTATTTATGCACCCTGATTAAAATTAATATTTACTGGAAAGCCATGAAAGAAAGTCAGTCTCCATGGTTTATAGCCTGACAGTTCTCTTTATGCTGTGTTAGTATTTTTATGTGTTCAATATTTTAGCTCAGTGTTTTGCTTAAAGCCAAATTCCCATTTCTCTGACTTCTTTTCAATATATAGTAAAATGACTGCTAAAAGTAATATAAAGAGATGGAATAGTAAACTAAGGCCACACAGTTCTATCAAAGACACTACTATAGCTAAGCACTGTCTGAATCCTAACACAGTCAGAAGTTAATGGCAAAAAGACACCTACACTTTCTAAGAAAGAAATAGAAAGGAATTAATTTTAAAAAGCAATACTTACCATGTTCACTGAATAGCAGCTGTTTCCATTTCTGTCTTTCTATTTCTGAAGCTTTAAATCCAAGTACAGATTTCAATTCTTGCAACACCCTTTTAGATTCCTGTCTCTCTCGTTCTTGTCTCTCTCTCTCTTCCTGGGAAAAGCAGTAAAAATCTTCTCTTTTGTATTCATTATCTGTATCTGAATAATCAACATATGCTTCCAATTCCTTAAAAAACAAAGAAAGAAAGAAAGCAAGCCTTGATCTTCACTGTCAGTGTGGACTCAATCCTACAATCTGATTCATGATCAAGCGATCTCAACACAAGCCAACAACAGCAATAGGATGGAGCCCTGTTTGAGCAGAGCCAGTGGATCTGACACTGCTCTTGGTTGTATCTGTATGATTTTGGAGCAAGTCCACTCATTGAAAGTTAATGAGATTTACCTTCATACACAAGTACGACCAAGTGATATACCTTGAAAGATCAAGTGACATACCTTGCAAATGGGAGTCCGTTTCCCCATGATTACAGGTGGAAATAAGCAATAAGCAATGCTGATGTGGGTTTCTTTTTTCTTTTATTTACACCGTAACCAATTCTTGGTAGTCAGGTATCTTGCTAATTTAACTTATGTAAATGCTTATTAAGAGGATATAGAGAACAGCAAACTCCTCCTCCAATTTTAAATATATTGGCTTACAAGCATAAAAAAACTACAGAGTACCATTTATGTTATAACAGATGGCAAATAAAAATAGTTAAAGTAATTGGTCCCAGCTCTTTGAAATGGAAAAAAATATAGAGAGAATGCATGATGCATGTAGGGGAGAAGGCAAGGGAGGGACAGAGCAGAGCATGGCTGTTCAGTGTGCTTTCAGAATGCATCTGCTACTCAGTTATGGGATGGAGGAGGCCTGTCCCTCTTCAAGACAGCCTAACCATCACCCATGAGCTCCTCAAACAACACAAAATTGTTCAGTGTCACAGTTTGCTTTAGGTATCCAAAAATGCGGAGACTACGTAAACTGAAGGCAGGATGGTTTGTGCTGGAGCTTGTCACTTTTGCAGCTGTGTCAATTTAGCCATCAATATGTAAGTAGGACTCTATTTCATATATATTGCCTTTTAGCAATTCTCACTTTTTTCTTTATTACTCTGACCTGTGTTGCTGCTCTCCTTTTGTCACTCATTTCTAATGACACATATGAGAAGTGAATACTAGTGTTCTTTTTTCCAGGATAGGAAACATGGACCTCTCCATGGAACATCAAAAGGAATATAGATAATTTTTTTCTAAAAGTCCAATTTTGAAATGGCACTGGCTACCTACTTGATCTTTCTCAGCAAGACAAGGAGGTCACTGCACAAGCAACTGAAAAAAAATGGATACAGCAAACAATCCCCAAATATTATTTTAAATGATCCTTTTTTTTTTTTTTACCTGCTCTTCAGGGATTGGATCTTTGTTTTCTATGTATATGGCAGGTTGTGTTAAAGGTACTGTAGTACGCTGTAGGTTGTCACAGGAAACTTCAATTTTGCCTTTAGGGGAAAAAAGAAAAGGGATTTTTAAAAAAAAAAAATCATATTTGAGTGTTGAATGAGGTTTTTGACTTAGTCAGGCAGGGTCCAGGCATTTTCATAGGCAGGATTGGCACACATGAAAAAAACCAGAAGGCTGGTTAGATTACACTGAAACACTGTGTTAGAGATCACTTACATAACTTAGTGGGTTTGATATAAGCTGCATCCAGTGGAACTCATGTTGAAATACTTCAACTAAAAAATCTCAACATTTTTATAGACTTTGAAAACCTGCAGGTGGCAAGAAAAATTGGTAGAACCAGAGAAAAGACTTGGTTCCCAAATTTAAAAAAGAGAAGTAAACCAGTAAAATTATAGGTAAAAGAGCTTCAAATAACTGGAAAATACTGGAAGAAATAATTAAGAAAAATTTACAGGAAGCTATCTGGGAGGTAAGCAAGGAGACAATGGGACAGCCAGTGTAGGTTTGTTGATAATCAAGATGTTAATTTTCCAGTGCAGTGACAGGTCTAATGAATAGAAAGACGCCAAAGAGGTTCTACATTTTGTTTTCAGTAGGGCTTTTGACATGGAGTCAAGACATTCTCATAAGCAAAATACACAGGCCAGGAAAAGTTGCTATTAGGTGGATAGAACAGTCTCTTGGATCATCACAGTGTAGTTACCATTTTCAGATTGGAATACATTGAGTGAGGAGTTGTGTCAAGTCCAGTACTCTTTAATATTTCCAATGGGTGAAAGAAAACTGTTGCAGCTCATCAAATCTGCTGATATAGAGATAATCTATAAGGAAAATCAAAGATACAGCCCAGGCAGAATTGGATTTCAGATACAGGAGTTTGGTGACAGTGACTGCAAATTTTCGTTCTTTGGAACAGCGAAGTGCACAAATAAATGACAACTGACTGGGGAACAGCACTGAGAAAGCAGTGAGAAGCCTCAGTCACCTAAAGCCTGCTGCAAGCAAAAAGCCAAACTACATACTAGTACATATAAGCAACAGCACAGATGTTAGACACATGAAATAACATTTCTACCCTGCCACTGATGGAACATAGTGCCCAGTCTGGGGCTCCTTCATTCAATAATACAGTGGGCAAACTAGAGGGAGTATAGAGGAAAACAGTGGAAATGATCAGAGGACTAAATATAGTTGTCAGGGAAGAGTTTAAGCATAGAGAGTCACAGAGAGAAGATACAAAGAAAACATACTAACCATCTTCAAGAATGTAAGAGCTATAAAGAGGAAATGGATTTCCATTGTGGGCAGATCAGAAGTACTGCTTTTAAATTGCAGCAAGAGATACTTCTATTCACTAATAACATTCTACTGGTAATGGAATTAAGTGCTGGAAGAGATGCCTGGCAATACTGTAAAATGTTTCTAAAGAGAGGTTTTTAGGAACAGGTAAACAACATTTACTCACAAACACTAATTTATCCTTGAGAAGGGAAATGGGCCCATCTATCCCTATTTTCAATTTCTAATCTATACATTGAACACTTACGGATAGTGTTCTGAAAGCAGGCAGTCAGCAATAATGCCAAGTTTGGTGGTGCTCGGTTATCTGCTTTTGCAAACAAGGAAAGTATGTAATTCTCTAGTGGCCTGGGCTGAGCTAAAGATCTGACATTCCAGAAATATTTACATGCAAAGTTTAAAAGAAAGGTGAAGCATATAGTGAAATTTCAAGGAGAAAATTGACGAGATATTTATTTTATAATTATCAATTATCAAGTCCCCTTGTCTATTGTGTAACTCTGCCTTGTAATAAGAACATTTAAATAATAATTATAACAACAATAGAAATATGGTCCTGAAGGTATGAAGACAAATTTGGAAGAGTATATGGAAGTTACCAATTAAAAGCTTGCCTTCCCAAATCAGAGGAGTAAACCAGTTGCTCTAATACATGTACAGACTGCTCTGTTTGCCACCTGTATGGGATGATGCTATTGCTAAAGATACGCTTCAAGATCATGAATTCACAGTGTTTAACTAAAACTGCTGCTGCTTTAGTTCCTCTCCAGTGGATCAAATCACAGCAAGATCCAGGAGACTACAGAAGAGTACTGTGGTCTTGCTGTTATAAATGTCTAAAAAAGTTGTTTATGTTTGCAAAGATAGAGACAGTTTAAAAGGAAAAAGGGTGGAGTTTAAACAGTTTGAGAGATATTGATTCAAAGATCATTAAAACAATGATGTAACTAGTCATAAAGGGTATTCTATTCTGTAAAATTAGCAGCAGATTAATATATATGCTTAAATTGTTGAGGTTTTAAGTAGTAAACTAGTTTTATTGGTGATGAAAAAAGGTGAAAGAATAAAGATAAGAAGTTGAAAGTCTAGCATTAACTCTAGGAAGTGAGCAAATATCTATATGTAGATCAATGACAGATAAATCTGTCATTGCCCAAGAATTTAAGTAGAGGTAAATTCCCCTCAAGGTGCTGAAGCTCCACTTGCTGTCAAGCTCTGTTCTGTACCTGACAGGATCAGTGACTAACAACACAAGTTACACCAAGTCCTGTAACAAAAGAAGCTCAACTGCATTCACTGAAGGAACCACTTGCTCTAATATCCATTCCTGTCACCACCAACAGAAGGTGGACAGGAGTGTATGAATGTTCAATTCATTACCCTTACAAGGCTTTGCTTTGACAGTTTGACACAATGAACTATTTAACATACCTGTATGAAACCAGCTTTGACACACAATGATTTAGGGCAAGAAGCATGTAGTACTTGCTGAAGGAGACTCATCTCTTTATACAGATGCTCAACTGGTTGAGCTAGTTAGCTGAACCAAACATCTATTGCAGTAAAAGTGCTGGGCATCCACTCAGACACAATGTTCTACTCCCATGGGATTGTTGCAATAGCTCTTGTCATAAGATTAATTTGGTTTTGGATAATAATGCACAAACGTAAAAGATGTTTTAGCTTCTATATTATTTCAATGGGAAAGTATCTTCTTCCAAAGAGCTTTCAGAAAGCATTGGGAAAAAATGAGATAATTTAATTAAATAATTTACATAATCATGACTGACAGACCAGCCGTTAAGATTTGTAGAAAGACAGCAGAAGAACTAGATTTCATTTCATGCACAGCTTGAAAAGGTCAACTCACAGAAGCTGGACTGCTTAAGAAATGTATCAGGAAAGCCAAACATAGTCAGATGAAAATGGTTTTCAATGACCAACATAATTTAAAGTAGCTCCTGTGGAGTGGTTTAGTAAACTTGTTGCAAAATAAGAGATTCAACCCCAACGCATTTGCAGGAAAGCCAGTGGGCAAAAGTGAAGATTTATTTTATTTTTTTATTTTCCACGCAATCCCTTCCTTCTAGATCACACACTAGATTATTTTTGTACTGAACTTCAAAAGGAAGCAAGTTATAATAAAAATGCCTACTGTTTTTACATAAAGTAAAAATAAAACTAAAATAACTAAAAATACTATGGTGTGCAGTCTAGAAAGAACTTTTAAGGAAAGGGAAAAAAGCAATCAGTGGAACTGCAGGTTGTGGAGGGCATCAACAAAACAAAACAGGCTAGCGCACGCAAATGTATCAGGCTACATCTAATATCCTCATAGGCTGTTTTAGGCAACACTGAGGGGAAAGCTGTAAGACTAGACTGTCAGGTAAAGTACACATGAATTTGGTTATACCATGTCTGGACCTGCACAGAGCCTGCATGAGGCCTCCCAGTGCTCTCAGTTCTGGTGTAAGAATGAACAAGGTCAGCTTGCATGACTCTAGGCCCACAGATCTCAGGGATGATTCATCCAAGTCCTACCCCTTCACAGGTGATTCACCAATCAAAGGCAAAAAGCCACAATTGGTCTACACCTGAAAATGTAACCATCTGAATCCAAAGGTCTAACAGAATTAACAGGTTCGCATTTTTTACTGAAACAAAAGCTTCAAGGCCATCACAGTGAAAAAGTCTGACATAAATACAGTCTTTCTAAGTGTAAGACCTTCTTCAGCTAAAATTCTGACACACAGGCTGAACACTGTCTTCGATCCATTTTACCATTCCATCTCTGAAGAGTATCCCATTAGTTGCTAAATTAATCTCTCACATTTACCTTTTTTACTTGTGTTTCTTCCACTCATTTTTTCCACCTGAGAAATGGCTTCTTCCCAGCAGCTGTTGCTTGCCTGGATATGAGGCTGAATAAACTTTAGTTTTTGTTCAAGAACCTGATGGGCTTCTGTTGTCAACTCAGGTGTCTCCTTAGTGCTAACAAGTTTTTCAAGTTCATCCTCAAGAATTATTACCCTAAGTAATAAGGAGATGAACAGCAATAAGTAATAATAAATATTTGACTTCACCATTCCTCTAAGTATTTAATTTAATATACTGTTATTCTCCTCACATTTTAAGTTTCTAACTCAGTCAATTCCTCAAAGATGCCCCACAATTTTAAAAATAAAATAATTTTCTCTACATCAAGATACATTGCTCACCTGCATTCATTACAGTAATTCTTATATGTAAGATTAAAGGAGTAGGACAGTCTCAACTGTTTCACCAAGGCAGTGACAAATCTTTAAAAATATTTATTAGGTAGTTATTATAACATTCTTATAAAGCATTTAGTATGTTGCAAAATCAATAGGAGATAAGTTTTCAGATTTTTTTCAAGGGAGTGACAGAAGTAAGGCAAGGTCTTGGTGTACTACTTATCCTCAAATTTTCACCAGATACTTAAAGAATCACCAGGAAAAAATATCAGATAGCCCATACTGTGTACAGATATACCTATAATTGCAGACTTGCATGTATCTGCCTTTTTTTTCTTTTAATCTGGGATACAAACTTACAACCCAAAGAACTTCAAAACATTCTGCCTACCTGCATATTCTCTTAATTCATGTGTAAACTTACTCATTGAGCAGCGCCTTGAGGTGAAGCTGCAAGCTGCGTACTGCTGTCTGAAGGCTGTTCAGCTCCCTTGACTTCTGCTTTGTTCTGGGTGGCCATTCCAAACCCGACTGGTGCTGAGTTTCAAAGTACCGATAAAACTCGTAGCTTCTCCTAAGCTCCTCCAAGCAGGCAGCGTGTGTGTGAGGTAGGCCTTGAGTCACATCGGACAGGATGTGATGAGGCAGCCGTTCAGGGGAGACCAAGGGCTTGGGGGACGCATTGGCTGGGGAGAGGAGCAGCACCAGCCTCCTGAAGAATTCTGAACTCTGCCCTACCCAGAGCTGAAAGAGGACCTGCAAAAGAGGGTTCGGTTAGCTCTGTGCACCTGGGAAGATAGTCGGCCTCCAAAGTAAATGTACAGATACACCACGGGAAAACATTCCCTGGCCACCAACAGGAACTTCGAAAAACTGCAAAAATCTGCTGACTGTTTTTGATGGGTATCCCAGACCACGTGAGGTTCAGATCTTGTGAACCTCAGGTGACTGTTAATTCTTTGATGAAGGATATTAAATGCAATTATGTTCAGAAGATTATCAGAGTCCTAAAACCTCATATTCTCATCAGGTAGTTTCATTATTTGCTATAATCTCCACATACCCTACAGCTCAGGAAGGGCTGCCAAAATTCCAGTGGCAGCAAAAACATTTTTCCCTTTATAATGCCAATCATTTCTAAGATCTGGTAACTACCGCGTTGCCCCACACCCAACCTTGAAACAGGAGCCTAATTGCACTGTACTTCAACAAAAAAATATTTTACATCTGAAGAAAGCTGAGCTGCTAACTTATTTTTTTCAGCCACAGTGAGAAATTTCACCAATACCACTAAGGAGGAAAAGGCTTGTAAGAAATGAATCGATTCACAATGTTATATATGGTCCTAAAGAGGCCAGTCCATCTGGGAGCAAGGCAACCCACAATTTCAATTTCTTGAGAACTTCCACTTCCAATGAAATGTAAAGAACTGTTTCCTTAGTTTAGAGAAGGCTGTTTGCTCAGTAGACCGTGACAGAACAGCAACACCTTATGTCTCTAAAATAAAAAGGAAAAGTTATGACACTTTTCTCTGCAATACTGGCCCTTATTAAAAGGGATCAACTGCAAGTGACCATGACGTGCAGTCTGAAATCTATTCTCAAGCATTCCAGACTGAGGAAGATAAAATATTTATTCATCATGCTTTTGATATATCCAAGGGTATATCAAAAATACTTGGATGCAAACTGACAAAATATGCCAAAAGAATAAAAAAATTTTCTCAAATCACAAAAAATGCTCATGAGAAAAAAGAACAAATGAATTACATGAAATTAATTTGGGGCACACATGCAAGACTGATTTGACTGGGTGCAAAAATAAAAAGCAGACAAATGGGCAGCAATCACTCAAGTGTCCCTGAATGTGTGGTGCCCTGGACAAAAAGTCAAAAGCTCATGCTATAATATGCACAAAAGAAGACCAATCCCTTCCACCAGACATAAGGCACAAGCAGTGAAAAAGTAGCACACAGAAATAGTGGATTTCAGGAATTGATAATCATAATCCAAAACGTACCTGAAAAAAGGCACAATGATGAGAGAAAAGGAAATTCCAGATGTATTTATGGTTGTAAGTAGCTTGCTCTGCCAATGACTCCTGATGATTTCTGCTGATTTTTGCTTAAACTCACAAAATATCCAACTGGTTCTCCTCAGTTTAAATTGGTATTTTTTTCTTTAGCCAAAAATTTTCACTCTTTAAATTGGTTTACTTCAAGGACAAGGTAGGCAAAAGACACATGCTATATTTGTCTAGACAGTGGCTTGAATGAAAATTAAAATATTAACTAAATCTGGATACATCTTGTATTCTACCTGCATTTTAACATAAAGACAAGTTCTCTCAAAAAACCCAAACAACCTGAGGAGGACCGCACATAAATCCAGGGCTCACAACACAAGTGTGTCCCCAGGTTATTGGAGTATATCTATTTTATTGCCTCCACAGGAATCTGCCTAAGACTGATTTATGTTAATTTAGCTTGGTTCAACTACACCACACCCAGCCTACACCACCGTCTGTTATGACTTAACATAAACTGAGATTTACTAGTTGTGAGCTTAACTGTATCCAGAAAGCATCCCAACTAGCTTAACTAAAACAGATTTCAGTTAAACTACCACAAATTGCAGGTAAACAAAGACTTAGCCTACAAGCTTAGGCACCTCTGGATGGCTTCTGCTTAAAAAGAAGTGGGTAAATCAGCCGGCTTGTATGACTGCAAGCTGTATGACTTCAGCTAATGAAAAGGCAAGGAAAAAAATCCCAAGGCTTCTATCTGTTGTAGCGCTTACAACTAATTAGACAAAGCCTCAAAGTTTAGTAATCACTATTACTGGTAACATTTACTGTCAGAACAAAAGAAGTCAAGGTCTACAAATTAAGTGAAAAAAATACAACAAAAGCCAACCCCTTAGAAAGACATAAGTCACATAATATTGGATTTTTCCATTAAAAAAACAATGTTAAAAGGGAACTATCTTTGCAGAGGACCAACAGACTTGGTAGAAGGCTTGCATTCAAACTAGATCTTCCTTCCAATTGACTCATGGAAATAAAAAATACCTAACATCTCAAAACAAAATAGATAAAAAGGTCATTATATGGTTGTCACTCTGTTCAGTTAAAAGTTTTTCAAAGATCAAAGAACCACACTGGCTCAGAGCAGTGGGGGTCCAAGCTTATGATTTCTACTCCTCAGTGTAACTGAACACTGCTATTCCCTTTGGCAAGTACAGCTAATTTGTATCTTCTGATGTCTCTCTTTTTATTCATGTCAAGAGATTAGATTAAAAAGGAGTAAGTACAAATCTGGAAATTATTTTATACAGCTGGGATCAAGCAAAATCAGAGAGCAAAAAATAATGTTTAAGGAGATTGATCAGGCTGATTATAGAAAACTGACTTGAATTTCCATGATTTGCAGAAAAAAATCCTAATGTTGTATTGAGCAACTTCTCTTCCATTACACGCAAAACAAAACCACCTGAATGCCAATAAATGTAGAAACACATGATAAGAGACTGATTACATCTCCCTCTCAACTCACCGTGTTACTACAGGCTAGTACCTACAAGCCACAGGACTTCATGACAACAGAAAGAGATTTTCCCCAGGAGCCTGCATGGATGCACATGTCCTTCTAGGAGAGGTTACCTTGAGCGCAGGCAAGCTGAAGCCATCGGTTAGGTTGTGTGCCTCCTCTTCTGAGACCTGCTCTTCACTCAGTCCCAGACCCAGTTCCTTAAAGGGGACTACACAGATGTAGCTGGTCACGTTGTCACTCTCTGAGTTCAGAGGGTAGGTTTAGCTGGGGTTAAGGTGCTTAACAAAGCCACTTTTGCATTAAACAGAAAAGGAAAGAAACACCTAATAAGGTTCCTTAGTCCTGGTAATTTGTATGAAAGCACATACATTCCACCCGAATCCTGTTTAATTGAACGTTTTGCAATCCTTATTTGGAGATCAAGTTTTAAAGGCTCTTAGAAGGATGAGAGCTGAGACACTGAAAAACTCCTATGTTTAAATATAAACAGATAAAAAGAAACAAAACTGATGAAAAGCCCCTGCATCTCTTTCAAGCGAGAGGAACAGCTTACTTGTAAATATTAAGTTTCCAAAAGATAGCACATGTCAATCTTAAACCAGAAATCATATATTTTAAAAGAGGAAAGAGGAGAATTGTGCAATTTGAAGTTTCAAAGGTAGCCTGTGTTATAGACCAAACTCAGGATGATGCGAACTCCCTGAGAGTTCTGTCTGTGGAAGAACTACTCAGAGATCTTTACAGTAAAAGGTCTTTGACATTTCAGACAGCATTGTGAAGAACGGGAGCTCCCTGACTGTCATACCATCAACTTCATTGATTACATCGCTGTAAAGCCACTATGATCTTGGCAGGAAGAGCGGTGAACGGGTATCTATTAACATTATTTGGCACATGTAAATTCTCAGGAGGAAAGTGTACATTTCTAGCCCTCAAAAACACTTAAAAAGCAGGAAGCAAGCACAATATAACAGATACCAGAAGACAGATAAAATAACTCATAGACCAGGAAGCATTTATTTTAAAATAGCACTAATTTTAGGCTAACCTCAGGCTGGGGAGGAGGAACAGTTCAATATTTTTGCACATTTTTCAACAGTCAACCAGTCACAAAATAGTAAAATTTGTTTTAAAACAGCAACTTACAACTTATAGTCAGTCATAAGCACAAAACCACATTTGTTCCAAAGAAATATATATATTGGTAAATCATGCATGAAAATAAGGTCTTAATTTGAAATATGGGGGTTTTCATTTATAATTTGATCTACAAACTGAATGCTCTCATCTCTAGCACATAAGGCTGATTAGAAGAACTTGTTTCCTGTCCAACTAATATGTTTTCTTGGGAAGCTACACGTTCCATCCACTTTCACTCCCAAATTTTCCACGTGCTAAATTCTCATAGGATTGAACATGCAAAGGTGATTTGCTCAAGAAAATGTTTACCACTTGAGTACGAGAACATTGCATAAAAAAATAATACTCTGTGTCCCAGGAAATAGTAAAGTGAAGTGTCCAGGATCTAAACAAACAAACACATTTCTCCCTACTTTTTCCACAAAGTCTAGAAACAAGGAAGCCTATTAAGTGTTCAGACAAAACCCGCAATGCAAATTAATTAGGAATAGAATATTACTGTTGCCACCAGCAGCTGCCTCACACAAATGGTGCCTACGCTAAATTAACCTGACAGCATGCCCAGCAGATGGAGCACATAGGATGAGGATGGTAACTCCAACAGAAATTGAAAAGTCAAGTCAAAACCCTTCAGGACCACTTATCTCAGAGACTAATTGTATTCCTTGTTAATATTTTCCTGCAACAAGACATTTCCAACAGCAGGAACAGCACAAGAAGTAGTTTGGGCACACATGAATTTCTAAGTCACGCTAAAGCAATTCCAGGCAACATCTAAATGAGAGGTTTGACCAAAGGAGCCACTTTTCAATGTCTCAGCCAGGGATTCCATTCCCAGTGGCCTCCTGCATCTCCCGCCTTGCCCTCCTCTATTGCAGCCCTCCCACTCCCATTTCTATCTGACAGATGAAAGCAGAGAACTGATCCCATGCCCTCATTAGCTTCCTAAACCAAACTTTTAGAAAGTTTAAACACATACCTGTCTGTTTTTATAACACTATTTATGCCTTGCGAGCAGGGAACAACATCTTACATCTATGGCAAAATTAAAGCTTTTTCAGTTTACATGGTCCAACACCCAGGTCCTACCTATCAAAATAGTTCAATGGAAATGGAGTATCACACCATCCTGCATTGGCTGAGGAGGAGACTATTAACATCTTCCAGTAACATAAACTACAAAATTTCCTCCATCTGTCTTGTATATAATTAAATCAGATTCCCATGACGTAGAATCCACAAGACTATTAAGTATAAAACCACTAAGCAGCAGTATGCCGAGCGAAGCATCACCTGAGTTATTACACAATTCAATGGAGCACAGTGCAGAGAGCTGCTGAACTATTCTGTGCAACATCCTGTAAATACTTTACCCAAAACGCCTTATTTCTAGTTTAAGCTTTCAGCCATTGCATCCTACTATACCCTTATCTTCTGGATTACTAGAGAAATACTCTTCTATTTTCTCTGACATTTTGTTCTATGATTTTGAGCAATGTACTCTTGCCAGTATGAACAAATTAGAGTAAGAATGACATGAGAAAATGCTGAATTGTTTCTGCTAGTACCCAACTGTCCCTTCACACAAAATGTAAGTAATATGACTTTCCATCTCATTAAATTACTGGTCCACCAAGTTTGACACGAATGCCTGGTATAAGGCTAAAGTATAACTGTATATTTTTTCTACTTTACATGGGAAAAAATTTTTAATTAGGGCAAAATTAATTAATTCTACTCACTGAAGGCAGCTATCTAGCTAAAAGGGGGCACACTAACCACAAGCAAATATTTTCAAACTTCTAGTTTTATTGAAGTGAGTAATGATAATACATCAAGTTTATGCAATTTGTATCACCACGAATAAACCTGTGAACTAAAACTTTTAATTCTCTGTAGCAGGTTCATCAGACAGATCTCCTTCTAACATATTTGAGACATACATTAACACAAAAGCCAAATCTTCTGCAGATAATTTTGGTAGGAGAAGTAATACTGATGGCTATAAAAGCTACCATTAATGGATTAGCACAGATCAATATATCCCTTAATATTTAATTTATTTACTAATTAATTTATAATAAATTACTAATTTATTGTATAATAAGTCACTCATTTCTTTCTACAGCTCAGATTAATACCTAGATTTGCCAGTTTTTAAGACTAAACCCAACAGGTACCAGCTTAGCCCCTCAAGAATATTTTCTTCCTTGCATCTCTTGAAGTTATAACATAAGAAAAATGGCTTAAGTTCAAAGCAGTTTCCCTTTGGCTTCCAGTAGGGTTAGTCTTACTGAGTCAAAGTATGCATTTGATAGTTATCTCAGAAATAATCAAATACAATGAAGCATATGTTTAGCAACCTACTTAAGACTACTAACAAAAAAATCTCTCAAGGCAGTGTAGTAAAACTACAAGCTCTGCAGTTTCCATTTGTTGACAAAATGAGATACAAATTTATAAATGTTTTTAAGATTGAACTTTCCTCTATTTTACTGTATAGTTTCAGGCTAGATTTAAAACAATGTAAGTATGAAAATTTACAGTAGCATTTAGCTCAATGTCTGTACATTGTCTATACAACATTATTCACTGAAATTACTTTTTCAGGGAAAAAACAACCCATTGAAATAGATTTTGCTTATTACTGAAAACCTTTTTGACTTCACATTATATACATGCAACCTGTCTGAGAAAACAGTTCCTCTAAGAGGCTGTTTGGCTGATTTTATTAAGCACATATAAATGCATATTTTCAAAGTGGAGGAGTAAATTGATCTTTTTGCAGATTGCTGATGAAAGGAACCTTGGAAAAATAATTAATCCACAGATATTTCTAGTAAGTTCCAAGTAAATAAGAATGTTTTAAATGAAGGCTTAAATCAAAGTATATCTTTTACTACATTAGTGACTTTAACACTATTTTCTACAATACTTTAACCATTAGATCTAATAGTAAACGTCTCTGTTTGAGATGTTTACCATAGTCTTAAGGCAACAATTATCTTTGCTGCATTATAAAGTTCAATTTCAGATTTACAGGTTTATTATAAGAAACACCAGGATAAAAGAAAATAGAACATACTTGGCATTATCATTCTTTTGTAGGCCTGTATATCACTCAGAAGGCCCAGTCACAGGCCAGGACCTTATTTTAATAACTGGACATTACACAATAAGGGTATCTGGAGTTAAAGGCTCACCACTGTTGTTGAATGACAAGCATTATACCCACATTGCAGTATCAACTGAATACCATCAACCAAGGAAAGCAAACTCTAGTATGGAAGTTTCCTGTGTATACATGCACAGAAATGTTTCCATGAAATGCACACTCCATGGTTAAAAGCTGTGGTTGTCCTATGCAGTTGCTCACACTCTTATGAAATTATCACTTCTTATTCTTTAAAGTGAAAAATCGCCCTAAAGAATGATCAACCCTCAATTAAAATGGAACTAAGATTTGATCATTAGTGTATTAGCTGGGCAGATTCAAATTCTTGACAGTAGGAGTTGTTTTGCATATTATATTTCTATTGAAAATTTTTCCAAGCAAAAATAATGCATTTTTTCGCTTGCCTAAATACAAAGATACATCTGCTCTGCAACAAAAAATACAAAGCAATATCCGGTAAAACAAAAAAAAATTAAACAGAATTAACACTAACTAGGGAAAATAGGTTTGGGGTTTTTTTAAATGCAATATTGTAATATTAATCCAAATTTTATACATTTGGAATGTTTTTCAAATACCTGTTTCTCTATTAAAAGCATTTTGTTTTGCTGTTGCCAGTGTAAGTCACTAATAGTCCTGCTGGATTCATATATCTCACAATGCTCAGAAAAAGCAAATTTCAAATAGAAATTCATTAATTCATGACCAAACAACTGAGAGGAATGAAAGTTGAGAATATCTTCTCATTTGGTGGAAAGCCAAACTTACTAAAAAGACCTGTAAAAGTCAGAATAGGGATCTCATTTCCAGATTTTGGATGGAAATTCCTTTCCTTTAATTTATCAGCATTCCTTTCCTTCAATTTATTGCCTCACTTCTTTTTTTAATCTCTCCAGTTTCTCTTCTTGCTGTAGACCAGATCTGTGCTAACAATCTGATGATGGAAAAGAGCATTAAAGTTGTCTCAAGTCGCAGCTGTAAATGCTTTCAACATGAAGGAATCTTTGGCCCCTCCATCATAAGAGTAGCATTTACTTGCACAAGGCACTGGAATCCATTTGAAAGATCCTCCTTGCCATCAATACTCCTGTAATACATGTAATGTTTTCAGGCATTCATGATAGTGGGGGGGGGGAATCAAACAAAGGTAACTTGGAACTACCTTAAAGCTGTCCTTGGTTATCTTGGTGGAGAGAAAGAATCCTTCAAATGCTACCACTGGTTTTGTCACTATATTCTGCACAAATATAATGCTTCCCTTTTCATTTGTCAAGAAGCTATCTATATAAACTAAATCTCAATAAATTTTTGGCCATTTATTTCTGCTGGCCCTTACTACTGTGTACCTACATGGTAAATTGCTATAACTTTTCAAAGACAGATATAAATGTCAAATTATCCAAACTAAACAAAACTTTCTTCTCTCCCATTCCTTAATTTAAAAGCCATTCCTTAAATTTAGTTGTTTGAAAACTCGTGGACAGTCTAATACACACCAATAATTCTTGAACCTGTAACTTTTCTGGCCACAACAATTACACACTTGTGATAACCACTGCTGGACTGACTTTCTCCATGTTGGAGGATGTTTGGGAAGGACATGTTAGCTGCCTATTTTCAGATCTCTCTTCCTATGTTCTTAGAAGTGATTCTTGACTATTTCCAAGCTAAGTATCAGTTGCTCTCATCAACATGTCTGAACCAGAGTAATTTTTTTTCCTTTACACAGCAAATACACCCTATTCCTCAGAGCTAAGTCTTGAGGCCAGAATAAGGATGCCCATTCCTACAGAAATTAATATTTTGCAAAGAAGTACTAATTTGCTTCAAAGCAAATGCACACACGTGCAGCTTTGTGTGTGCCACTGTGTGTGTACACATTAACACTCAATATATTCATCTATTTGCCAGACAACATTTATTAATCAATATTAAGTTCCAGGAAGACAAAAGAAGTACTTTGTTGTGTCAGGTTTTCAACATTCACATTACCATTGGCTTTTGTTTCCTTGTATTTTTTTTTCAGATTAGGAACATATCTGTTTTAAATTTTGCTGTAATTTAGGGTGAATACATTGTTATTTCCTATATAGTACAATAAGTACAATAAACATAGGAAAAAACCTTGAAATGCTAAAGCCATTTAAGAAAGTATCAATTCATTGAAAAAATACAGATGACGCTTTACAAAATGTAATCTGAACAAAGAGTTCTGGTCCGATTCAGAGTAAAAACTCCTTGCTTTTAAATGTGCCTTTTGGCTAAATTAATGTAATCAGTTCCACTCAGCTTGTCTGAAATAGAAAATCAACTTACCTTTGAACACAGGGATGTTGAGAGAAAGGCCATTTGTTCAGAGAAGAGGATATTTTGGTGCAAGGGAAAAAGATGGCTAAGAGGAATTATAAAACAAAACCCAAAGGACTCTGAAATACATCATTGGCACTTACACCAAAGGTATGGCTGTCTGTAACTGGGACAATGTTTTCAGTGCAATCAACGCATCCGCACAGTACACAGAAGCAAAAATTTTAAACATTCCAAAACAAGCATAAGCCCAAATTTACTATGCTACCTTTTCTTTACTTTGTCTAGATACATAATTAGAAACTGTATGTTTCTGGAAATACTGACTCTAAACATTGACACAACCACGGGTAGGTAATATGGAGTATCTTCACTCATGGGTTTGTACAGAAAGGATATTTTTTCAGCATGTACAGAGTGGCCAGTCTTGAAGCCCGAAAGTTGGCTCTGACGGATCGATACACGGCCTTCCGGAGACCAATCAGGTGCTGACTAGGATGCTGTCCAGCTTTATTAAATGGGCAAGCAGCACTGACCCTGTCAAGCAAACTTGAAAAGTAAAATGTGATACAACTGTACAGATGTCCTAAAGTATTTTTAAAAGACAGTACATAAGCTTTCTTATTCCATTATTTAGAAAACTTTTTCAAACCACTCAGAAACTATGAGATTTAAAAAAAAAAAAATCCATCCTATCAATGATATATTTAATCAACATTTCAGATAGCAGCCAGGATTCCTCAGTAGACAGCCTGATTCTATTCTCATCTGAGCCATGGTAAAACTCCTACGCACATTTATTTTCTCTAAAATTTTCTAAGATAATACACTAAGGGTAGACAAGCTGTAACATTATCTCTGATACAAAACTATTATACTGTAAGCTTTGGAAGTTTTAATAAACAGGTATTTAACACATCTCTTTACATCTAGCTTATTCTTTCAATAATTTTTGCAGAAAAAATGTGCCACTACATAGTTACTCATGCAAAATACTGTATTCATTTAACTTCCTCCATGCAGAAACTTTTCTAGGTCAAGAGAAATATTATTTGAGTGGTGACACAGATTTTATCATCATGCAATGAATGATAGCTGTGTTTGTGGGAGTTTTGACAGGTAAACACATGAAATATATGCAACCACACAAGCACATTTGAAATTATATTTGGCATCCACCTGTTCAGGTGAATACACCATTTAAAAGAAACTATGCCATTTGCCTATCAGAATATACTTCAGAATGGCTTTAGCACTGTAAGAAGTTGCCTCATTTGGAAACAAAATGAATTGTGAACTGGGTGAACATTACACATGTCTGAGTAACATTAAGCTCCAGCTATATCTATTCATATACAATCTGATGCCAAACCTATGACTGAGACACTAAACGGCCCAGGTGTACTCTGCTTGCTGGGGCTGTGTTTAGTAGAATCAGCTTGGGAACGAACATAGTGCAGATGGACAATAGGATGATCAATTGGGATTAATTGTTTGGGGACTGGAAGCCTGCTTCTGCTCTCACCTTTCCAAGGGCAGGTGAGGAGGTGAATTCATGTCCACGATCACTTAAAAGGGAAAAGTTTACAGGGTACCTGGCAAGACTGAGGTGTGTTGCTGCCTTGGTAACTGTTTCTGTAGCCTGTCTGATCAAAAAAGCTAAGTCAGCAGGCCTGACCCTGCTGGAAAAATGTCAGTCCTACTCCATGCGCTTAGCTGGGCCATGCTGAACATTGCCAGGAGGGGAAATAGCTTATGGCCTTCACTGTCAACTATGAAAAGCAATGCAGACCACCCAGTGAGCAAGGCTGGACCCATATCAGTATGTTAAGCATAATTAACACAAGCAGATTCATGCCAAATATTGCCATATACTGAATATGCTAGCTGAAATACAATATAAAATATCTGCATACCACATTAAATTATGTGATATTCAAATGGTTTATATAACATCTCATAACTTTAAAATCTGATTAAAATAAAAAAAACTGTATTCATTTCCATTTCTAAATGTAAAGTTCAAATGCCTAGCCTAGATGTACATTTCTCTAGGGACCACAGCATGTAAGGCAGTACATGCCAAGCTCTAATGTTTCTCTGGTTTTCCAAGGTAACAAGTGGAAGTATTTATATATAAACTCTCACATCAGTTTGTAGACTCAAGCCCAGGGGGAATTGTCAGAAACAGGCTCAAAGAAAAGGAGGAAAATTCTTCTACTGTAAAAAAGAGACAAAGGTCCATGTTCTTCTGTAGCGATGCAAGCATTTCCAACTTCTACACAGAATAAATATAGCACAACTCATGCACAGCACGTAGTGCCAGTACTGAGCAAAACAATCTGCTTTCCTTCTGGAAAGGCTTGATTCAGTCTTTTCAGAAAATAATTCTTCTTTATTCCACTAATCTTAGATTAGTATAATTTGTTATAAATGTCTACATGTCAGACATGTCATATCCCTAACTTCCTAATGTTTCATTTATCTTCACAGAATCACAGAATCGTCTGATCTTCAAGGAAGGGACCTTGAACATCCTCTAGTTCCAACCACCCTGCCATGAGCAGGGACACCTTCCACTAGACCAAGCTGCTCGAAGCCCCATCCAGCCTAGCCTTGAACATGTCCAGGATGGGGCATCTGCAGCTTCCTGTGTCCCACCACCCTCTTAGTAAGAATTTCTTCCTAATATCTAATCTAAACCTGCCCTATTTCAGATTAAGCCATTCTCCCTTGTCATATCACTAGGTACTCTTGTAAAAATTCTCTCTTTTCTTCTATATATTTTAATTTGACTTACAAAATGTTATCAGCTTTGCATATCAGCCACAAGTAGCAAGAAGAAAAAAAGGTTAAGGATGAATTTTCTTTCCTACTGCTCCAGACCCATGTTACTTGTAAAGAACAGTGACATATTTCTCCATTATTGTCACAAGCTAAATCTTAAAGTGGCTTTCAACTTCCAACAAACTTATATAGACACACTGAAACCCATTCCTGCACTCCAACATGAAAGCTGTTCTATAAAGATGCTAATATGCACCAAGATGTGCTCATAGGGTTTAATTTCAGTTTAAAATATAGTAGAAAGGGAGCATTTTGGAAAAGAAAATTATTTCAGTGACAGGCAAGGGAATAAATACTTGCTGCTTATTGCTGCAGCCTTTCATTATGTATTCCTTCAGTTCTCATTTTATAATGTGCAAGACAGTGGACATACTTTCATTACGCTGCAGAAATTCCAGGCTGCAATCCATGATCAGGCTTCATTTGTCTAATTACAAGTGAAGCAATTAGACAGAAATACTGCCTTTCTGCCTGAGTAGAGCATTGCCTAACCTTTGCTACACAATTTCTGTAATCCAAATTACCCAGGTGAGATCTTGGCCATCTCTGCATCGCAGAGCTTGTACGAGTAGGCACACCTGAAACACTAACAGCAGTGCTAAACACTTCTGAAGGCCATTCTGGAATCAGAATATCAGAATATCTTTGAGGGTAGCTAATATAAGAAAAGCCCAACAGGATTATAGAATCACAGAACAGTTAAGGTTGGAAGGGACCAATGGAAATTATCTATTCCAAGCTCCCTGCTCAAGTTCTCAGTTCCTATTCTATATGGCTGCTGTGAGTTTTATTGGGTGGGAGGGGAATGAAGGCAAAATTACATTTGAATAATATTTGAGTATAGCAGTCACTACCACACAGTAGTAAATACTGAACTAGTGATGACCAACCAAAACCTCATCAGAAATAATCTAACATTTACAGAGACAGTCCAATATCAATTAATAAGGGGCAAATAGGGTATAATAAAGCAAAAACCATAGATATTTCAAAGCATATATAATTTAGCCTACAAAAATAGCAATGGATGGTGCCATGGGGAAGAAAACCACGAGTGGAGCACAAGGAACTTCAGCTGCAGACCTGGGCTTGCCCGATCACAGTTTAGCTAAGAACAGCTAGTCAAAATCTGAACTTGGTACTATTTGTCAGCTTCAGTATCTTTCCATTCACAATATGATTAATGCAAAGCCCAAAGTATGCTGAGCTAGCAGTACCTTAAAACACTTGCCTATGTGTCACTGACCAGGATGCTGCACTACCTGATTGAACTCTCATTCTTTAAGGATGTAAAATAACACAAGACAACACTCATTAACGTTTCAGGTGCAACCATTTCTATTGCCACGTGACTCTCTGAACAAGCACTAAGATTCTGACAAGATTACTACAGGAGATCATACTAAACTTTGTTCTGCTGAGGTTTATTGTTGCAAAATTCTAGAAGAAAAAAGAGATAACTAGTTTTTTGGATCATATACAAAGTGCTACCTCAAGCAAAGAATTTCTCATTGATCTGTGCAGCAGCATCTCTTGCATATGTGGATGTAGGAAAGGACACTGGAGTTAGAACTTCCTCCAGGCTAAACCAAAACAAAACTTGTACAGCACTGACTTCTTTATACTGTACAATTGTTCCAATGAGGATGTCAGTCAGACTTCTCCCACTCCATCCATACTCCAAAGTCTTTTGAAAAGTTTGCCAAAGTTTTAAGTAAAGAGGCTATTAGATCAAGCATCAGCTTAAAGACCAGTCTGTTTTTTGTTAATCTGTTATCTAAGAAATGTAGTAAAAGAACAAGGCAGCAGCAATTTAGACACTGACCAGAAGTTCGTTTGCTTAAACTTAGGCAAAAATCCAAATGTTTTTCTCATCTGTAATTTGGACAAGCCCTAACAATAATTTCTTTTAAGAACCCGTTTGCAAAGATAAGACTGCCTATTGCTTAACTATATGCTTCTTCAGCAAAAAACCCAGATCAAAACAAAACACATAGCTAGGCAGACTGAATACATGCTTATGCATTCCGAAGGGAGAACGAAACGTTTCTTCAATGAAGCACACTGAAGGTATCTCAAGCTAGAAAATTAATTCAAAATTTCAAGTCTACAGTTTCAAGCTTGCATGTAAGAACATGTGCCTGAATGCAGAATAGTTGGTCTGGCACGAACAAACAACTTCTTGGTGCATGCAAGGGAATGTTTTATTGTTTTTAGAAAGAAGTCAACTGTATTTTAGGTGTTGGCATTTCCCACCTCCTTTAGCCTTAAGTGTAACTGGCACAGGTATGTATCTCACCACAGGTTGTTACAAGGGAAAAGCATCCATGCCAATGAGAGTGCACAGAAGCAGGCCTCTTGGCTTTGGAATCATTGCATACGCTGAACACGTTCTGATGTTCTTTCACATAGCAAACAAGCAAAACTTACCAAATCACTACAAGAGCTAAGTAATCAGAAACACTTTCACACCCCTTAAGTGAGAGAGGCAAATTCAACAGTAACTTATTTAAGAAGCTAAACATTTCAACAATTGTATGCAAGAAAAAGAGTAATATTAACTTTATTTGAGGTGGGAAATGACCTTTGATGGTCTTGCTGATTACTTTGTTCTCACTACTTCAGACTGTTATTTGTTAAATAAAAATAGAATGGTTTTCATGTTATCTTGTTTTCTAAACTATGAATGATTACTTGCAGATCAGTTTATTTACATATATTTGGTAACATAAGATAAAAAAAAAAATCTCAAACAACCAACTCTCTAAATGACTTCCCAAAATCATTCACTGAATTAGTTCAAAATCCATTTCTTTGTGTATTTCATTGCTAGTAGAGCAGGAGATTTCAAAGACATATGAGTTTTGTGAGACTTAATCCACCTTCAGGATGCAGGGTTTTAACACTGAGTTGTTAGAATTCATTCTTTTAGTATGAATTGCAATTATACCATTTTATGTAAACAAAAACCTTCAAGTACTGTTTTTCAGTAATTCCACTTGTTACAGGAGACAGTGTAACAAGACAATTTTAGAAGACAGCGGGTTTGAATGGATCTGTGTATTAAATAAATTGAAATACAGACTCACAGGGTAAATCCTCTGGAAATTACTTCAGTCTCTTGAATGAGTCGTAGAGCTTTCCTCACGAGATTAGTAAAAGCTCGGCTATTTGCCACTGTTTCTTCCAGCTGGATACAGTATTTTCGCAGGGACATTTGCAGCTTGGCTGTCCTCCATGTGCCCCATACTCTAAAGACTGCATAGACAAGCAGAACTAGTCCCCACAGCAGCCACGATGATTCCTTCCACCACGAAGGAAGCATAAGCAGTGCACTTACAAAGGCAAGAAACAGCGAAACATCCCTGCAAACGGAGAAAGTATCATCAACCACAGATTCCTGAGGTCAAACAAGGGGTAAAAAAATCTCAAAATTTTCAGTTACGTTTAGGATTACAACACCTTATTATGGGGCTTTTATGTAGGTCCTGAAGGGAGTTGTGAACACCAAAAACTACGCCAGTAGCAGACTTAGATGAATATGTACATGATATTACGTGCTTGGTATACTCTAAGGAAACATTTCTCCAGCTTTTTATAGCATGAGGAAAAGAATAATATACCACTTTGAAAGGTCAGTTTCTCTTACATGTGACTTAAAAAAAAAAAAAAGGAAAAAGAAAATAGAAAAAGAAAAAACCTGACTACTCAGAATTATAAGCCAGGGCATGTAGGAACCGTAATATCTGTACTTCCAGGTTCAAGAGTACAGCAGGGAAGGGCATGTTTCTTTTGGTAGCAAATCCCTCAAGTAATGCCAGATGTATTTTTTCTAGAGTCTGACTCATTTAACTTGGACACCAACGCACTACTAGTTTTTAACACATTTTATAAATATGGCTTGAATAGTCATTTTAAATAATTTGGCAGTTTTTGAAAATCGTTGAAGAACAGAGTTCCTAGTATCTCAGTTCAGTTATTTCTAAAGGACATTTCAAAAACTTCACAGTTATTTTTTTTCTAGAAAAATTCAACACAAATAACTGCTAAAAATACACTGTGTTTCATATATATTACAGTTTTGTAAAATAATTACAATCTTCACAGAGATGGATGGGATATTGGCTTCAAGGTGCATTTCAACTACAGTTTTTCAGAATTTTTTCAATGAAAAATATTCACTTTCTTTACGTCATAAAGCTCTATGTAAGCTAAATGTATCCTGCATTTAGATTTGGAAGTATTCACAAGGAATATTTTTCCATTTCTAAAATAAGACACAGTCTCTGGGTTTCTATTTTCTGGATGGCTTTGTGGGCAAATTTCAACAAGCTTTACAAGTGTTAACTCTTCAGGGCTACTGGCTCCTGATAGGTCCAGGGTTAAAATAGTCCAGGGTTAAAACAGTCCAAAATAGTCCCTTTAAAAGGGACAGACACACAGTCTCTAACTTCCTTGGTAAATGAAAAAAATAAATCACAACAATTAAAAGACTAAAAGGGATATAAGAGCTCACTTTGTCCATTTTCAGTTTCTGGTTAGCCCAGATCATCATGGACAGACCAAAGATGAGACTTCACAACCCATGCAGAGAGCCATTCCAACTCATGAGTATCCGTAGAGTTCAAATGATTTCCCCCAAGTTCAGTCTGAATCACTGGCAGATTAATTGCATTATTTTTCCTCACATCTTTCCCTTTTATGAACAGAACAAATGACACTGATCCTCACGTTCCTAACCACCTTCTACACATCCTAACACTATCAATCCAAGTTTCTTTTCTGGAATAGTACTGCATATCCAATTATTCATCACTTTGTGTTTATTAATTTAACTTTTCCTTCCCAAGTGCAGCATTAGACTTTTGTCTTTATTGACTTTTCTATCGATTCCAAGGTATTTCTCCAATCTAATTTTGACCCTCTATTCTATGAAAACACAAACTTACTTGTCATCTGTAAGTTGAGCAATATTCACTTATTTTGTAAGTGTACTTTATCATCTGAACAGTTAGAGAAACCAAATAATGCTAGGACCAGAAAAATCTAGTTCAAACGTTCTCTTTTGTCAGAGAACATCAATAATGACATAACTTAAACAGTTGGGGTTGACTATAATAATTTTATCTATTTTTCTAACATACATATGACAAAATAGCACTGGGCTGTGTTATAAGATTTTTATCTACTGATTCCTGTCCATTTCTGAGCAAGACACTCTGTGAAAACAACTGGCCTTGTTATTTTTCAAATACACGTGCTAGTTGTTCAGATAATGCTGCAGTCAGCCCCCTCAGTATTCTTGAGTCAATTCCACACATTTCTTGACTTCAATGCATCCTATTTAAATAGTTTTTAGTTTATTCTTCTGGTATTCTACATCTGAAAATTAATTGCACATCCCACCTCACCTCTTCCCCTTGCAGCATATTTTATGAAGACCACAGCAAAAAACCTACTTTTCAATTCAGTCCTCACAATCATGTCTCATTTCTCAAAATCACCTTTGTATAGCTTTAGAAATTAATGAATTAATCAACCATGTTAGTTCTTCCTAATAGAATATATTAGTTTGGAAGTATCCATTCACGTTCAAGTAGCTATCTCAGATTAAAATTCACTCTTTGAATAAAATGCCTGAAGAAACAAAACACTCTTATAAAAAGTCTGGGGACTAGTGGACCAAAGGACCTGCGAAAAAAAGTTACTTTAATGCTGCATTTTATTTCAAGAACATACAATATATTTTTTGCTTGTTTCTCAGTGAATATAGTGGTAGATATTCTCTATACAATACCAAATATTAGGAGTTGCTAGGGAGCGCAGTGTTGGAAGCTGTCTGTTTTCCTGTTGCTTACACTGCCCCGCAGACAGGATACTGGGGTCAAGGAACTCAATCAGTTCCACATCCTCCTGCAGCAGAACTTCCTGTTGCAGGATGGTACGGAGCGTGTCAACTCGAAATCCAACATCCTTACCACCAACGGGCAGGAGAAAAAACAGGTATTAGAAAAGAATATGCAAATTCTTACAATTAAGTTAGCAGAACAAGGAAAACACCCAGACACTACACTTTACTGACAACAGTCTATTCTCAAAGAGTACAGGAATGTTTCAGATATATCACAAGTAGCTACTTCATTTTTATTAAACTTGTTTAACTTTAAAAACTCACATACAACCTAACAGTTCAGACTTGCAGGATGCATGACACTGACTTTGTGATCTGACCTAGATAGTAACAATAACTGGAAACAGGCCACAGAGTATGCCAATATAGTTGCATAAGAATCAGAGAGGTCCTGCATCTATTAGAACATCATTACTGAAACAGTAAACACTTTTTTTTTTTAAATGTCATGACATTATTTATGTCATTAACAAACAAAAAATAGAGAAAAAAAGAGAGAGATTGCAAATTAGTCAACAAAAAGTCACTTGTGGACACTTAGTAACAGTAGGGTTAAAGCACCAGACTCAAGCCCCAGGCCAAGGCAATGAAGTCCTCTCCTGCAGGATTTTGTACCTTTCCCAAGGAAACTCAATCCAAACAAAAAACAGCATGGGGCTCTGAAGTTCCCCCCACTTGATAAACTCCAGGTAAACTTTAGGGAGCTACTTACTTGTGACTTTAATGCCATGATAATAATTTGTTACTTTTTCCCCTACTATAGGTCTTCAAGTCAAATATGCAGTTCTTGAAGACAAATATGTCCATCAGAAAAGCCCATATCATAGTGCACCAAACCATAATACAAAACATTTTAATTTAAGAATGTCATAACAAAACCCAAGAAACACTGAACACATACATCTTTGCACCTAGCTAATTACAGGAGAGAAAGGAGAATATTTCTGAAAATCCTCTAACAGAAGCTTTTAACACAAGTGTTACATTTCACAGTACAAAATCTGTTTACTTCTGTCATTGACAGAATGAGATTCTTTATGAAACCACAGGATAGCTGGTTTAAAAGTTTAATTTCATACACTGATGTCACCTCAGATAATCTGCATTCTACTTTTAGCGGAAAACATTTTTTTCAGGACTGTGTGCAAGAGAAAACTCTGCCCTCCTCCAACGCATCCTGTGTCATTTCAGTACCCTACTTTGTAGTATGCAGCAGGACAAACAGGTTCTCCATGTTTTTCAGTTATGCCTCCATCTCAAGAAAGTAAGGTTGAAAATTGCTGTTAAGATAATACCTTTTGATTCATAGGGGAAGAGGGAGGACGAAAAAAGTCAATCAAAGATCACTAATGAGAGATTTTAGAGGAAATTTTGTTCTCCTGAGATAAAGGAGAAGAGATAGCAATTGGGTTCAGCAGAACTCTCTGAGAAATGGAAAAGCCTAACTTCTCATGTTGCTCAGAATTTTCTTTTGAAGCTATATTTTAAGATGTCAACCCTACATCATAGTAGAAAAAAAAAAATCAAAATTCTAGATTCTGGAACAGTCTGACTAAGGTGACACTTGCAAGCCTGAAGCAGCTGGGTACAAGTTAAAGCAGATCTGAGACAAGCCCAGACTGGAGACTGAACTGGCTAGAAAGTGGTGCTGCAGAGAACAGGTATAAAGGCAGCATAAAATTACTTTTAACGAACTGGGGTAGAACTATCCCCCTTCAGGTCTCTAACCCACACAGGCTGACTTAAACCCTAAATGATCCTGCAGGCTCCAGGAGGAAGAGAACACAACCTCTGTTGGGGCACGCAACCTGCTTCTGAACTGCTGAAATGAGAGCACATGGGTAGCACAGAGAACAGATCTGGCCACTCCCTGCAGCCAGAGCGCTGCACGGATGTCTGTGCTCACTGGCAGCACTGTTCTGAAGCATTAGAATGGAGGTGCCCTAGTTTCCTTTGCTTCCCCCAAATGCAGAAGCCCTGTGGACAGCAACGCAGAAACAAAGAGGCCAGGATGGGTCCAGGGCTAGTACAGCTGCACTGCAGTGGTGCTGTGCCTGAGCCAACAAGCTGAAACAGAGGGTGAAGCAATACTCAGGTGAAGCCCTAGAGCCTTCTGTCTTAGGCAGTCTCTGCAAGGCACTAGGCTGCAACATAAGGACTTTCTCAGTTAGTATCTCCCCACTGCCTTCCACCAGTGGGGATACCTATACTGCAGGTTAACTCCTTTCAGCTTTCAAGAACTGCTTTAATTTCTAACATATTTTATCTTCTCTTCCACATTTTGAACATCTTTACCCTGGCTCCTGATACTGTTCCTGTCCTTTTGTGCCCAATTTGGCACAGTAATTCTGAAAACCAGAATCAGTACTATCTGAAGAACAAGTAAAACTCTTAAGAGCCAAAACCAACAATACAGACCAAAGATGTTGCTTAGAGGAGCAGGAAGACCTGTGGATTAGGAAAGGAAATGGAAAAATAAAAAAAGTGAAGTGATCACTTACCAGCCGGTGAAGTATGTCATCGTTTTTCTTATACTGTGGAAAAGGAAACCAGCTTCTAAAGAATTCAGCTAGTTTTGACAGGATGCCTTGCTGAAGGGAACAGAAATTATTCCAATTAAAAAAACCAAAAAACCAAAAAAACCTCCAAAGCCAAAAATAAATAAATAACAACATACAATGCTTTTACTTCTGCATTTGATTTTCTTGTTAGCTCAAACACAAGTACCTGTAAGGAAGTTTCACTTACTGTGTCTGGCCTAACTTCACAGTACACTAAGAGAACATCTGCTTCCTGTCAGTTTGCTTGTACACAAGAGAATAAAATAAAGCTTTCAGTAACCCCACCTATTTGGAGCATAATAGACTGTTATGTTATTCTGTTAAAAATAACTACAGCTAGAATTAGTTTGATCTCGAGTTGGCAGCTACTGCATTGATATGAAAGACTTTCTCTCTCCTGGAGGATAAAAAGCCAACACATTAAATGGCTGACAGGGGCTGAAAAAAAAGTAAAAGACTGGGAGAGGACAGCCCACTGCAGCTTGAGAACAAGGCTCCAGAGGAGTTGTGAACAGAGACAAGGAATGGTGAGGGTAAGAAGAGGAACTGTCCAAACCAGTGTGTGCTATCAGGTCCTTTGTCTCTATACTGCTTCCCCTGCAACCTAAATCCATACTTTTGTCTGAGTTGTAAACATAACTTCAAACGCCTTTAATTAGAGAAACTCCCTCTCAGTCATCACACATTTACTCATGTGTCTTCCTAAAACATGATGCATGACAGATTATAATTGAATAGATGCACAATTTTGCTTCAGTCTGCAGCCATCTAATGAAAAAAAGAAGCATCTTTTGACACACACTGTATATCTACTTTCCTCAGACTGAGCTGACAGGAAGCATTTTTCAAAATATTTACTTACATATATTTCATGAATTCTTAGGCCCTGCCTCTTAATCTTCAGACTGCTGACATGTAATACAACCAAACAAAATACATGCCAAAAGAAATTGATTGTGAAGTGCTTACATTTTGTGGCATACTTCTTCAAAATAAAAAAAACAAAACTCCAAACAGATTCTAATAGCTAAATATATAAAAGGTGATAGCTTCTGTTTCTCCCTCTTGGTTTCTTGGGTTTGGGTTTGTTTTTTTTTTCTTTTTTTATTCCCCTCTTCTGTTTTTTTTCCTGGTTTCCCCACAACTATAAGGTGGGAAACCCAAGCAACAGGAGCTTGGAGCTTTGCAGTTAGCCCTATGACCAGCCTGACAGCCCTCTGAAAGGCAGTGTGACAAGTCTGGCACAGCAAGCCAGAGCAGCTTCAACATCAGAAATTGTTACCTTAAAGCCCTTAAGCTTCAACAGTTTTTGAAATAACTTAATTTGGTGCCCACTTAGGTAATCTAACTCAAGTGTTTCTTACATATGTCTCACCTTTCTGTGTATAGTTAGAATTGCAGACCTATGCCAAAAGGAAGTGTTTTTAGGTCAGTGGAGAGGTAAAACAATAGCATGAATTTCATAATGACAGCTCTCCCCAATACACTGATACCATTGTGGCTTATTAGGGGGAGCTATTCCAGCAATTCACACTTAAAGAATATGGAATAAATCCAAGTGATTCTATTTTGATGTTGCTCAAGCGCAATGACATAAATTGGAAGAATGGCACAAACTGCAACACCAGATTATCCTCCAACGATCTTGTACAGTGGTGCAAAAGAAAACAAAATTTTCTGATTAGAATTTGTAGAAAATTGAAATTACATAAACAAAGATCTTGCTCTGCATTTGAATTTCAAACAGATACTCCATTCAGAATTCCTTTTCCTTTTACGTTGAAAGCAGGGCACAGAATTAACTTAAGATTATGCCTCTTGAAGCCTACCATTTTCAACTGCTTAGCTTTTCTTAAGTCTTCTGATTTTTATCATGAACATTTAAAGCTACACCAAGAATAGTTTTAAACTGCTACCAGCTTACTAAACTAAACCGTGGAGTTACTGAAAAAACAAACTAGTGTGCTACGTAAGTAATCTTTCAGTTTATTCTCCATGTTTTAGTTTAAAAATAAAAATCCCAGCTTGCGTAAACCGTCAACAGGCACGTCAGAGCTTGAAAACACAAACCAAGACAACCCACTGTCTTGGGCTGTGACCTGGTAGAGTACAGCAATACACTAAATTATTCAGATCCTTGGAATAGTGTCTCACAGTTTGCATTCCCGTTGGGAGTGTTACTGACAAGTAAAACAACTTTCTCCAACACACAAGTCAGGTCATGTAGCCAACACTTCTGGAACATTCTTCTTACAACTTTAGAACACCACTCAGTCAAACCCTCTGTAAACTAAATAACAAAGATGTATAACTCCTAACATTTAAAAAAAAAATAATAGCATAGGACATGCACAAAATTCTAAGGACTACTCCTCTTTTGTAGAGAAATTCTGTGCATTACAGAAGAAGATAATGCTACATATTAAATACTTTGCAGCTACCCAGAACTAGCATTTAAGGGAGTGGGAGGCCTACACTTAGGCAAAGGATGGATCCCTCTGCCATCCCACATCAGGTCACCTGCACAGCCACTGAGGGCTGTGCACTGAGCCCCAACACAATCCTCTGTCTCCAGCACCAGCTCTGTTCTAGTGATGAAATATTATCATGTCTAAGATGGGATAAAGTGTGACAGTACAATTAATTTAAACATGCAGATAAGCACAGCAGTCTAGGAAAATGACTGAGAAAGGAAAGGTGTAAACAGGAAAAGAAACATTCCTTAAAGATCAAGCAGAATTACACAAATAGGATTTCATTCCAGAAAACAGGTCTAGAGACCAGAATTTTAGCTGTTACTTTCTCCAGAGATTAGTACAGTCAGAAACACTGCACCTATTATTACTGTGCTTAATCATGTCTCTATACTCCATCAGATGGGAGCCTGGCATTTCACCAGTCTCCAGAACAGAGCCTTGAAATACCTTTACAGCTTTTCAGCTCAATGTTCATTAAGACCATATTGTGATTAAAAAACCCCCGAAACACCACCAAAACCACACCTTGAGAACTATTTAAGATGTGCTTCAAATTCAACTGATGCTTGTCTTTCTTAAGCCTGAACCACATGCTCTGTTTGACAGGACAGCAAGACACAACAGAAACATTTGTATCAGTCACTAGGAACCTCCTTTTTCCCCCAGATTTGGTTTTTTCACTCCCCGAAGATCCCGAACTAGATCTTTGTCATGCCAAATTCTTGCTACATGTCACCAGATTGCAGCTGTATAGGGTTCCTACTTGACTGAATACAAGAGGAGGAAACAATCTTAAAGACAAAGCAATACTCTGTCTTTTACATTTTTATTTCAATAAAGTGTTTAAGGCATTTGGAAACTTGCTTTTCAGAACCGAAGGAAAATGATACCCATATAATAGGAATCAGTATGGAACACCATCTACCCCCTGTGATCATAGTTATATTAAGCCTCAAGGAATATAATTTTATATTAGGACTGTGGGTAGGTACATATGCAGAAGTCAAAAGACATTTATTTTCTAGACATTTTATAATTTCAGTAGACTAGGCCAGCAAGGGCCAAGAGAAGGGAAATGATAACAGTCTTGTGTACAACTGAGGAAATGACTGGACAGGCAAATTATTTGCCTGTATGTCATACAAAAGTTTCAACAAAGCCTCAGATCCTCCTAAATCCAGTCTACTTTTTTAAATGCATGGTCAGCTGCCTCTCCCTCATTCTCTTTCCTTTTGAGACACTCTACCAAAATGGGACACAGGAATCAAATGACAAAAACAGACTTTCTGACATCAGATTACAAAAGAAAAGTGTTAATGCTCCCAAACTGGTACTGAAACAGCAGCAGGAAGAACCTATGGCATTTTATCACTAGAAATTACACACAGGTTTCTTCCTTATTTCCACTAAGTATCCTTGTCTAGACAGTGATGAGACAATGTGAACGTCATCCTAGCATTTGTAAGAAATGGACAGCCCATTTTCACACACTCACTTCCTTCAAGTTGCAAGGCAAACCATGATGAATTACTTCTACATCTGACACAATACTGGAGGACTTGCTCCCAACACAATAAAATTAAGTGTAAAATGCTTGAGGGGTAGGGAGGGGGAAAAAATAGAATACTTGAGGCTTTTTAAAGCCATATATCTTAACACTTTTGAGATTCTTAATCCCACGGCACTTTTGTATTAAACTTGGTGGAAACTATATACATGAACACAGTATTATACTGCTTTTCTGAATTCCATGTAACTACGCAAAATAAGGTAATGCAGCTAAGTGACAGTCCATGCATTACTTCATAGTAATGAACAGAATATGAGCCAATGAAATATGTCATCCTAACTTTCAATTAACAGTGAGCAAATTTTAACGTTTAAATAAATAAATAAATAATCAAACATTTAATTAAAGTCTTCCTGAACTAAGTCAGAATAGGTATCTTCAACATAAATACACCACAGAGCTGCCAATAGCTATAAAGGGAAAATATATTTTTAGGTGGTTTCTTGAGGGTTATGGTGAGTGCCGGCTGACAACTCTGAAAAGCAAGGGCAGTAGACCTAATACTTCCATGAATATTCCCAAACGTAGTTCGAAATAAACAAAATTGTGAGCTAAAGCTTGAGTTAAATTCAGCCTTGCCCTGTGACCACTGACAGAAGAAATCATTATTACAAATGCAATACCTGTCCACATCAAGAGTAACTAGAAATCAATTTATTCATTAAATTTAAAATAATCTTACATTAGAAAAACCAGCCAAGGAAACATGGAGATGCAGCAAGAATCACTTTTCCTCCTCCCCTCAGTTAATCTCACAAATCCTCAGTACATGAAACTGGAGTTCTGAATGAAGCTCCTTCATAATTTTTTTCTCCATGATTGCTGAACTCTTTGAAAAGCTGTAAACTCTAGAACACTGTTGAACAGTACTAAACTTAATGATTCTTATTGTAGGGCGGTTATTCTTTACAGGCTGCCTAATCCATGTGCTAGGCATGTAGTGGTACTTACTGGTCTGCTCAATGGATATGCACCCTGCATCTTATCTAATGGTCATCCCTGACCAGAAAGTGGGGTATGAGAGAAGGGAGACATGGCACACTTCCATAGGAAGGACTACAAGTCTCAGAAACTTGGGATCGAGGACACGAAGCACACTGTGCAGCGCAGCTGCCCAACAGGCAACAGAAACTATGACCAATCTATGAGGAGACTCCAACAGCACTGAGGACCAAAGCAAAATGTTTCATGTTTTATTACCCTGTCTTTTCAAGTGGACTAATGAGTGTGTAAGGAAGTTTATACAGACTGTACAGAGTGGCTGAAACGAGTATCACTATATGAAAATATGAGCCATGAACACTTCTCTGAATACCGCTAGATGAATAAGCTTCACACTGTAGCTTCCAAATTTCCACTTCAAAGACTGCACAAGTCAGTCATTTCAAACACATTATACTCTTGCAAACACTTCAAAAAACATACCTTCTTCCTCATATCAGAAAAGAAATTATTTATGTTATCCACATAAATTTGTACACTTCTGAATCTTATCCCACCTAGGATCCCACAGAGAGCAAAACAGATTAAAAATCCCACAATAATGCTTCTGACCTAAAACAAATGAGGAACCAGAGTGACACAAACAAAACTGAAAAAGAATTGTTGAAATAAAGCCTAACTGTGACTAACTTGGCTAATTCTTTGAAGTATCTGAGAACTGAGTAGAGGATATACATTAAGACGACATTATTTTTAGAAAAGACTCCAACAAAAGCATCAGCTCTCCTCATTTGTCATATGAGTCCCCATCCACCAAAACCTGCAGGGAGAACTTCTGGACATCTCAGTGCCATATCATATTGCCTGTGTTTGGGAAAAATAGTATGTTTACTGCCAGCTAAGTGGAAGGGTGGAACATTCTGCAGCAGGAAAGCAGCAGAGGTTACAAACAAGAGGAAAGGGGTTGTGGACCTCTGATTTGAAGATGGCAGATGAGAAATAAAGCAGAAATGAACAACAGGAAAACTGAGCTGCAGTAGGTTAAAAGCCACAGCAGGCAAGATGGAAACTACCACAGATAGTGGTGAGAGAGGAGAAAGAAATGACAACTCTTCAGAGGAAACGCATCAAGGCATGGATGCTTGGTTTGGGTTCCTACCTGAGGCACTGCCCAACTCAGCCTGCAGTGACCAGGAGAGAGAAGTCCACATGGCACCTTTTTCCTCCTGGCTTAGCACATAGTTGGAGCACATCCACTGTAATTTGAACTCTCCACTGTGAATGTGAAAGAGGTAGGCAGAAAATTACTGCTCTTCCCAGGCTCCATCTAAGTGCTAAAGGAGAAGACCAACTGACTACTGATTTTTCAACAGATTTGCTGCATAGTTTCCTACATCAGCTGTCTCAAAAGAAGAATTTTCTCACCCACTCCAGAGCTCCTCATCTGAATCACATTGCCTGTAAACTACCAGTAACAGTAAAAAAGAATTTATTTTTAATAAGGAAAACAAAAAATGTGTAGGCCATAGTAGGTGTTAAATGGTCAAATTCTCAATCACAGTTTTAATACAAAAATGTTTTAAAAAGTCCCCAAGCCTTTAATTAAAAGGATAGAGAATGAAGAATTCTGAGCTAATTAGTTGATGATTCTTGTCAGCTGTTACTGTTAGAAAATTACCACACCCTAAGCACAATTCTACTATCTCATTCAGATTGGTTATTGCATTTATACTTCCCAGAAATCCTCTTTCTTAATGTGCTTTGTCACAGACAAAGCTATACTTAGCAACTGAATGCCTGAGAAGGGCTGGGAACTATAAATACTCTGTTCCAGAAAATTACAGGTTCTATTCCCAGAATGTCATGCTAAACTAACATAACAATATCCACTAAATAAGATAATTTACAACACTCAAAAAATTATTTATCAAAGTCTCTTGCTTCCCTAGTTTACATAAGTGCAAAGAAACACTCCAAACTATACCGATTAACCACGAATTTCCAAACACATTTGTAGACAAGATATGACAACTAGCTGTGGTTTATTGTTCGGGTTTTTCCCCTTTGTTTTTTCTAAATACAGTAAGAGATTTATCTTTATACTGATTTTGCCTATTTGTGAAGCAATGTAGTTCTCTTTTGAGAAGATGAATACTCAGGAAGAGGACAGCGCTCACTTTCTGGGCGGCACGCACAGTCCGCTCTTTTTCTTTTTCCGCTGCTGCACATTGCTCCGCCTTCTGCGACGCTGATGAGCATACTTCAAAATCCGTGTGTCCCAAGTCCTGCAGATACTGGTAGAGTGGGGAATTCTGAAAACAGAGTTATAAAAAGAGAAATGAGAAAAAAAAACAACGTTAAAAATCCTTCCCCGTTTCCCACAAAACACAACTGTGAAGACAGCAACCACACAACCAGCAATGAATGGACTGAGAAATGGAAAAAAAAAAATTAGAAAAAGACTTCTACTCTCTCCAAGGACAGTACTAGCACTTCTGGCAGAGTACCACAGTTATTTAAAAAATCCCACAGCGTACAAACAAAAAAACCACCCTACTTCTTTAAGCTTCTGGCAAAACTACTAATTTACAAACAGTCCTAAATAAAACAGAAAAAGTATGAAATTATGATCACCAGAGAGTGGGTTTTTATGCATTTAGATATTTATCTATATAGACCTCTGAAAGTTCTTATTGTCATCTGCACCAGGTGTCTAGATGTACTTAACTCTTACTTTGCTGTTTACAAACACATATATGGTAGTGTGTAGGACAGACTTGACGGAAAGGATTTTTATGCTAACTGCAGTTCCACTCAGGACATGCAGGGACTTCATTTTTAAGAGAAACTCTCAGCAACCAGTCTTATATAGACTAGTTAGGGATTATTTTTGACGCCTGAAAAATTTTATCAACATCCCATGAGAGCATGTGAACACCAGTAAACTGCAGAAGAACACCAACATTTTAAGAGTTTAACACACTATTAATCAAAATACTGTGTACAAAAAGTAAAAGCTTTGCAGTAAATAATGCAGAGTTATGGAGGTCTACAGAAATAACCAAGAGAGCACCTACTACTAATTGTTACATCAATTATCATTAACTTGCTGGTGCAAGCTGGAAAGGTGGCCCAGCTACGCTGATCATGTACCAACATGGCCAAATCTCAAATACTGCTTGCCATTCAATAAAACTTGGAAGCAATCATTCATACCAGCTGAACAAATTAACTTTTTACCTCTAGGGATTTTTTTAACCCCATCACCAAAGTGCTATTTTAATCACTCTTACCTATTTAAAGCATGCAAATTCATACTTCTGCTCTGTTTGAGTTACAACAGATTCAGTGTCCAGTCATTACCTGAAACTCAAATATTCGTACCAACTCACAGATACGCACAATCCTGGCTCAACCACAATGACAATGATTGTGCAAAACACTAGGATAGGTTAATGACTCATTTCCTTGTCAGAATTTTTCCAGTGTGACGACACAATCCTATCTTTTTTCCAAGTACCCTTCCTCCAGGGTTGAGTACTTTTTCAAAATGCATCCAAAGCTAATTAAACAACGTGCTGTCCTGGACTGCCTGTTTGGCTCTAAGTAGAACATGCCACTTTACCAGAATTACTTAATTAAAATGGAAAGACTAAACAGTAATAGTAATAATAGACTAGAATACTTCTCCTATTTCAGACACTGTTAAATTCACCAAATAACTTCAGGGCCAAACTCAGAATATAAATGGATGTGCATAACCTTGTCTTACAACAGTTTTCATACAGAGCCAGGCTGTGCACTGCCAGCACAGCTCAGACAACCTGAACACCTCCGCGCGAGAACCATTAGGGTATCATGCAGGTTTCAGTCAGAACCAGCCAGAATTCTCCCCATCTGGATGAAAACACACACAAAAGAGTGCGTGAACAGAGAGTATTTTATTCAAAATCACAGTTTTAATGCTCGTTCCAGGCAGAACTTCAAGGAAATCACATCTAGTCTCTTGGCAAACCTGTCCATCATCTTGACCATACTTCGACCAGCAAGGCCAGCCATCATTTGACACATGACTATTCTTGTACTCTATTGGTACTCACCCACATACAGTTTGCAAAATAACCCAAATATACCATGGAGTTCTTCCACTAGTATCTCAGGGTGCCCCTTTCTTTGGGGCCCATGATGAGATAATTTTCTAAAAGCTAATCAAGAAAACCGGTCTACTGCTGTTAATGTTGGTTCTATTTACTCACAGAAATGGATGAAAAAAGGCAGAAAGAGAGACAAAGGCAGACAGAGACTGTCCATTGAAGACAGCAAGAATTAGCTAAAATCCCGAAAGCTACGTTTAGTAGGTGAAATATGGCACAGATGTAAGAATGTCCAATTCTTCCCTTTTACTGGGTATCTAGCAACATCGCAACCTTCCATTTAACTGTAATTAATTGATTTTCTACTCTACAGAAATAGAAAAAATACCCCATCTCTCCAAATGTTAATGAAATTTCATGTCCGACCTAGGAAGAATAATTTTATGCATTCTCCTAATTAAGGTACATTACTAGTTTTACATAAATCCCTTCTGACTAACTTTTAGAAGGTTTTTACAGGGTCTCATAATGGGTAGATTTTCAATTTTTTATCACTGCTTGGAATTCAAAATCAGTTTTCTGACCATGGAGTTAGCAAATGAAAATTAATTAAAATTTAACTTGAATGGTTCATCACATATTCCTGTAAGTAGATAAGAGTTCTCCTCTTTCAGTTTCTGAGAAAGTACTGAGGCTACAAAATCCTCCTCTGATAGATTTCTGTGGCTCCACATGCTTTGTCTTTCCCTTTTTTTCTAAAAGATTAGGAGAACTTGCATATTGGAAAAATCTTGTATTCTTATAAACTTAAATGACTAAGAACTATGCTGTGACTCAAATCCCTTATGCTGTTAAGTAAAACCACCATTGTTCCCCTTTCTGAATCCATTAGAAGCAAGCAAGATGTGGGTAAAGAAAGCACTGAATAAGAAGTGGGTTGAGACCCTTGTGAAATTAGGTTATTAAGAATCTCAGCAAACTGATCATAAAATTCTTCCACTAAGAGTGAAGTCTCTTGTGTAGCACAGGCAGTTTTATATTTTGCTCAGAAAATTTGAAGATTACACTCCTCTTCTATTAGAAATATCACTGATGGCAGACGTACATTAGCCTATCCTAACATAAATCCACACTATTTATTTATTTATTGTATTTAATTTCCTAGATACTGCCTAACAAGGCTGTCACTTGCAAAGCTGTGTGGTCTGTGTATCTCATGGAGGATGTCTACACCAGTCTATAGATAATATCTCCCATGACATATGTAAGTAATGGCTAGAAAATCCAGTAAAGGTATTATTAGAAGTTGAAGGGTAGATTTTATGTATGTGAACACTCCCACAGAACTTCCAATATTATCAAGGAATGAGAAAGTTATTAACTAAGCAACTACAAAACTGCAATATGCTACCATTAAAATATCCTATTCTGTACACTATGTGTTTCAGTATAAGAGACGAAAGTATTATACTTAATGCTTACAAAGCATTTTTAATCCTTGCAAAGCTTTAAAAACAATTAAATCTCAAAATGTGTCTGACCCACAAGTTATAGCTCTGAATTTCTACCTTACATCTTTATCCAAACCTCTCACTCCTAAATGTCTTCTTTCTCATAGAAACAGATCATAGATATGCACATATTCTTGCATATGCACTTCTAACTGCGAAAAAAGTTCCCTGGTTTCAACTCATGTTGCATTCATCAGGCTCAGTTGTTTTCACCTGCAAATGCCATGATAATATTAAAATAAGATACTTCTTGGTTGGGGAAAATAGGAGGGCTCCGCCTTTCTTCCTCCTAATTTTCTTTGCCCAAAATTCATGCATTCCATTTTACAACAGTCCAACAATAAAAAGAAAAAAAGAGCACCATTGCTTTTACATTTTTGCATATGCTATAGATGCTACACTTTTAGTTTAAGAAATTCAGGACACACCAGAAAGTTGATCCTTGCAAGCAGTTAATAGGTTGTAATCTAAAAAAAATAAATCAATTACACTTCAGAAAAAGCTTTTATATTAGAATATAACGTAAACGGAGAGCAAGGTCATTTCAGTGTATGGCATTAAAAGAGAATTTAAGATATAAAATCTCATCTTCCTATTAATACAGCAACATCTATTTCTATGTACTTTTGAGTTTTTACTTTCAACCACTCTCGACTTAGATAATAACCAGACTCGTTAGTATTACTCCTGTTTGACAGTCAGCTTTGTTTGTTTCCAGTTGTGTCTGGCAGAATGACACGGTAATGAATAATGTACAAAGTACAGAAGGAAATTATTTTTAATATTTCAGCTTATGTTACCAGCCTACTACCAGTTACTGACAGGAAATATTATCTAAAGTAAGCGACGATACCAAGACAAGGTTTTTCAGCAATATGCTGTATTATTTCTGAAGTCTCTTCTAAGTTTCTTCTTCTAAGTCACTTTTTGAGACCCCCTAGATACAATAGACAGGCATTACATTTACAGCCAAGGCATTTTTTTATTATACTAATTGTCCAAAACGAATGCAGGAAATGAAGGAGTTCCAAGACAGACAGAAATAAAAATGCCATTATTCTTTGGTGTAGTTCATACAGATTATACACAGAAAATCTTGCCAGTAAGTGAAGCAAGACAGTCAATACAGTTGATATATTAAGTAGGAAAACAGTTTTTTGAATGGACTCATAGCAGAAACCAAAAAAAAAAAAATCCACTTATCTTTTTATGACTTTTCTAATTCACTATAGTCAGTCTTATTGCAAGTCATTAAACTGTAACCATTTACATAACAGCATAGGTTTATATAAGCTCCCATTACCAGAATCAAGAAAGAAAATCCTTTCCCCTTCATTCACAACTGCTTGGGCATATTTGTTTTGGATCCACACTACTAAAAATTATTTCGCTCACATACATATGTTTAATTAAAACTCTCCTTTTTTTTTTTCACTGTTGAAAGTAGCTGAGTCTCATTCTAAATCCAAGATTAAAGAAGAGTCCACTAAATTAATTTTCTTCTGTAGCACCTTCCCAATGCTTATTTTAATGCCACTTGCCATACAGCACTGACTTGGGTTAGGAAAAACATCACTCAACCTGCAGGTTAAACAATGCATTCGCAACTCTAAGACTACTGTAAAAACAAAAAAATGTCAAACCTAAGGCAAACATTAATCAAACATAAATTATGTTGCCTACTACTATGAGATGGAAAGGCTGTTA